GCATTTTCTCGATTTGATTTTGAGGCAGATATATTTTATAACACACTTGTTTTATTACTTGATGTTTTTGACTTATATAAATGAAATTAGTTTAAAAAAAAATTTTAAGAAATAGTCAAAAAACAATTGAAAATGTTTTAATAATGCTGTAAATTGGATATGATTTTAAAGCTTATTATGAAACAATGAAAAGCTGTAAGAAATAGTATAAATAAAATATTGCTAACAATTAAATGATTAAGTGTCATAAATAATTGTCTTTTTTTTTTCTTGGCATTCTCACTATCACTTCAATTTCGTAATGTCATTCTCTTTTAAAATTGATTTTTTTCCCTTAATTGAATTGATTTTATTCCTTTTTTAAGTCAAAAATTTCGTATTACATTTACTTCAAAATGAAAAAAAAAAAAGTTTTTTGAGATATATTAAAAATTTTTAAGTGTTAAGATTGTTTAAGTATTTTTTTAAAATTTTGCAGGGAGAAAAATCTAAAAGGAGAAGATTTTAAATTTTATGTAAGATACGTCTTTAAAATTCTTAATTTTTTTTATTACATTTATTTATTTTTTATTTTTTTTATTCTGATTCCATTGAATGCAACGATTGTACTGAAACACAATTTATGTTATTTTCCAGTTCTTAAAAGAATAGATTTATAATAGTTATTCTAAAGTTTAATGTCATATGAGCCAGATTCAACTCTATCATATCAAATGAAAACGAGATTACATACTCTGCAAAGCAGTAATGTTCTAAACTGTAACTGACGTTTCCTCATTTTTTCTCTTTTATATTTGCTACATTTTAAAAAATCTTAAGTCATCAATTTAAATCATTGCTGTTTTTGTCGTAGGCCATAAAAGCAAGGGGTGCGATTACTCTTGTTTTCCAGTGGCTCCAGCTATAGCTGAAAATTCAACTTCTGCCACACCCATACGTCACACCCGTTCATAGGGAGGACCCGTTCATACATCCATTAATTCAATAACAGATCGTAATTTTCATCTGAACCAGAGAACGATTAATCTCCAATTCAGTACCCCCAGAGGTATAATTTGTTATGGGAACGTGGAGGATTTGGTGACCTACACGGGGAGTCTTCGGTCGGCTGTTTTGGACCTCCCGTTCTCATGAATTTGAGTCCAGCACCCCACCAACCGGGTCATCCTGTTCATCACGTAAATCGTAAAGTGTATAAAAAAAAATTTCAGGAAAAAAAAACTTTAATCTTAAAAAAAGATTTCCAGCCAAACTAATCATACGGTGTTCAAACTACTGTTACTTTAAGTCCAAGTCCAACCCCCTTGATTTAATGAATTTAAACTTTATAAAAAAGAAACAAATGAACGGAAACTACATTAATGATAATACTAATGTAACTTAGAAAAAGTGCTAATAACTTTATGATTTACTGTAATTGATAGTTTCGCATTATATTTTAAAAAATCTAGTTTGTAAAATTTGCAAGTAGTAATATGATGATTTAATTGCACAAACGTTCCCATAAATAATATAGAATGGTTTGTATGAATTAAACACAATGAAAACTTTATTCTCAAGATTTTAATGTGCTCTCAGATATAAAATATTATACTACAAAATTATAAACCTTTAATGGGGGATATGTTTATTCTATATCATCAACTTAAAAATTAAAAAAACAAAATTTTTATGGCTCATTAACCTTAGTATGAAAGGCAAAACTACCACTGCACTCATTCCGAATTAAGTATACGTATTTTTGTAAATATTTTGGTACTATCACGTTTATGCAACTAATGGTTATACACTGTAAATTAAATGTTACTTAATAATTAGTCAAAAATAAAAACTAATTTTATTTAATTGTTCTAAAATAAATTTTAAATGAAGTTCTTTACTAACTTACATCTTCAGTCTCAAAAATCTAAGTTAGAAGAATCGACGATGCAAACGGATTAAGAAATTTAACATCGTATTAACGAAAAGCGAGGTAACATCAACACTTACATACTTATTGAAAGATTAACACTAGCACCTCATACACTCCTACGAGCCAAGAGATATGAAAATAAATATTAAAAGTGAAACATTATGTTGAATAGCAGACAGCTGCAATTCAGTGGTAATATATGGAAATGATAATGCTATGAAACCTTTTATTTACTATTTTTTGCGAATTTCATGAAAAGAAGTAAATTTCTGGGACAAAATACAGCGTAGTAAATGATTTTTAATTAGCGGATTTACGCAGCTATGTAAGTCCTTTCACTAAAAGTCCTTCACACTACATTTCTGCTAATAAGTATATTTTCAAAAGATACGCAATCAATTTTGTCATGCAATACAGACGCATAGTCTCACAATGTACTGATCGTAAGACACGATTTTAATTAGATTTCAAAGGCTAAGCATAACTGGCAGTGGTCAGTGAATGGGTGGGCGACAATTTTGATCAGCCTGAGAAAGGACCGAGGGTGCTCGATATCATTAACTCTTTAAAGACCCAAGCAGAAGAAAATTTACCACTGTAAACATCCTTAGTTTTTCATTCGCAAATGAACTCACCCATTTTGTTGGGGGCTATCTTTGGTCATTTGATTCACAGCTGGCAAGAGTATCCCCCACGTCACTAATAAATCAAAGGCGTGCTCATCTTGACAGTGGAATTTCCTGGCATTCAAACTAACAATCGGCTTGTGAAGATCGCTTATTTCCCCCCCCATTGAACAATTTTCTCGTTAACTATTTTAAAGCGGGAATAAAGAGATTTTTATATCTTTTTCCCAAATCTCCTTTTTAATTATTTTTTATTTATTTTTCTTCATTTTTTTAAGTTTCTGTTTATTTTTTCTTAAAACTGATTATTTTGAATGGATATGTCATACAAAAAANGGAAACATCCCTGTTGATAATCCGAAGACATGCCATCACAATTTTGATCCTCTGCAGAGAGGATGGCACTCTAGCTTCGGTAGCCCGAAGGCGCGAAGTTGAGCACTTTACGGTAGAACAGTTTAACGAGGACCAATACCTAGCTATAAACCTATAGTTGTAAATAAAGTATTACTACAGAGGCATACGTTTAGCAAAATTTGTTGAATGAAGAAACTAATTTTGACACGTTGGACCACGGACGAAATCTCAATGTTATGATGAGCACTACAGTAAGATCTCTCATAAAGGTCCATTCTTAATGAATCCGAAAAATTCACGACTGCGAATTCGATGATGCGGAAGAACCTTATCGGAGAAATACAGACTATTCTCAGAGAATGTGATTTTTTCACATGCAAATGATAACTGGATTGGCGAATGGCATTCATACGCAAAAATTTCACCTACCATTTTTCCGCTCAAGGTGAAAAATTTGGATTCAGAAGGAATGACCCTTATACATTTACCAGGGAAAAACTTGCTACTCAGGTCCTCGCTCGCATCCTCGCATAAACAAATTTTCCTAACAGTGAGAACTGCCCCTCTTTCCTCATCATCCGGTTTTCTATTCTTCTTTTTTTTCCGCGTGTAACATATGGATAGTTGACTGGATGTAACAATAACATGCTTCCTGAAACCAGAAAAAGTTTAGGAAATTTCCTGTGTATCCCTCCCCATATATTATGCTTACGAGACGATGTTTGAACAGGCCTAATATTTTAGGAAGCTTTTTATTGTAATTTGTGTTTTAATTTTCTCGTCATTTTACTGTTCATAAGAGTTACCCGTAATTTTACTGTTCATCTGATAAATTCTAACAGATCGTGAGCTTAAAACAAATTTAAGAAAACTAATATCACAACGGAAATAAAGTGTAAGGTTTTCCATGATTAGCGAGTTATCTCTTATTTGGTTATATATGTTTATCATTTTTTGTAATTTCTCAGATCGTATCATAGCGTGGTTGTGGAATCTTCCAAATTTTTTATTTGTTTGTTTCTCAAACATTCAAATTGAAAGTAAGCGTTATATTGTAAACACTACAAGTATAATATTATCGGATGGAGCACTTTTTCAGACTTACTTGTAAAAATTAATCGGAAGTAGTAATCTGGAAGTCCTACGACGAATTTTAACCTCTAGCGCTATCTCTACTTAGCCTGTCACGGTTAGCCATCCATAACTAGAAACAGTTTAAGTTCTGTTTTTTCAATTTTTCTTGAAATGTATAATTTTTAAACTATGGTTATTTCTGAATTATACGGCTTGTATACTGCATAATGTTATGATTCATGAAGTTCTGCAGACAAAAAATAAGACAAAGAAGATGTTTTTATTCGAAGTTTATTTTGACTTCAGTTGCCATAAGTTTTAGAAAAACAGTTCATTTTTTTAAAAAAGTGTTTATTTCGAAAATATAGAATAATTACTTTTTTCCGGAAAACATCCCCAAAATAAATAAATTTGATTTGTATTCTAAAGATCAGCCTTTTAAGAAATTTCAAATTATAATAAAAACTAGCACGCTCATTAACTTTGAGATAAATGATGTTGAAACCTCACTTGCAACTTTTTAACTATTCCACCAGGGGAAGAAAAAGGGCAGTGAAATGAATATCACGTGATTAAGAAAACTCCCACAAATTTGCTCCAATGACAAATCGAAGCGAACACAGTGCCATTAGCGATCGAAACGGGTTAGAAGTGGCGTAGAGCAGAACTATCTATCTATGACAACTCTTTACATACTTTTATCGTTAACGTGTGGGGATTCTTAGGAGAAGGAAATACGTTTAGTTTATGTTTTGATTTTCAAATAGATTAAAAACTTTTACGTCAGGAAACTTATGGAACTGAAAATTACACTGAACACAGGTCTAGGAGAAAACAAAGAGGAAACTTTAAAAAATATTTTTGACAAATAAATACGAAAAGCATTAAAAAAGGGGAAAATATTGCAGTACATTCCTGTACAACGGAGAAGAGGGGGCGAGGGAAGGGTCTGGACATGGAACCGGTCTTCTCCCTAGATGGCGTTTTCCATCATTGCGATTGCGAATGTTCAAATGTCTCTTAGAGAAACTTTCGTCCTCATAAGGAGCTACAAGTATATAAATCTTAATCCATCATTCATTCTACTTATCATCAATCAATCAAAATTTATTCGGTTTTCGTTTCATTCCGAAATTTTTTTTTACTTAGTATTCTATGTACCTGAATTAACTTTTATTCTCGGTCAAAATGAGAATTATAGAAGACAAATTTTGCTTTTAAATCACCCAATTGCAACTGAATATGCGACAAATTCTCTTGTTTTCATTTTCACGTTAACTGAACAATTATATTCTGAAATTGAATTTTAAATTATACATACTATTATGTTTTCCTGGTAAATCAAATGCCTCCCCATGCCTAAATTTCTAGCGATATTTTATATATGTTCTTTTATCACAGTTATTTTTTTGACAGTTTCTTTTGCTACGTTATCAAAAAGTGACCGTAAAAGTCATAAAAACGAAAAGAAGAATACCAAATCGGTAAGTAATCAATTTAACTTTCAATGTTACTTAATTTTGAGCCATGTATAAGAATCCTTTGATTTATATTATTGTAAGACTGCAATTTCGGTTTACTTGTTCCCCAATTTCTCTTTATTATTCGTTCTTTGTATTTTTTGTGATATAGACCATGGATATTCCGTACATTACTTTATATTCTCATATTTTATCGTTATTTATAGTATATGAAATTGCCTAGTGAATCCATTTCTCAAATTAAGAGCACTTCAGGATTAAGCATTTTAGCATTTAATTGTGCATGTCCCAAATTTAATTTTTATCAGTATAATTATAAAATTGCTTTATTGTCTAATTAATGTATGTTTATTAAATTGCTTTATCCTACAATTTAAATATATTTAATGTGAGAGAGAATGTTTATTGTGTTCAATTTAGATGATCAATTTTGTATGCTGTTACTCATATTTTGTTCATTATGTGTGCTAACATTATACTGGGGTGACTTTGTGCAAACTGTCATTTTTTCAATTTTTGTCATTTTTTCAATTTCAATTTGCTCGGTATCAACTGATTTGTCAACAAAACGAACTAATGATTTACCAAGAACTAGCAATGTAAATATCATCGTTCTTGGAAAATTGTGAGCTCAAGGTAAAAACAGGTTCGAATTTTTAACGTCACAAAATCGGAGGCTGGAAAGTCTGCTCGGTGGAAGAAGTTCTAGTTATCCTGGCCAGGAAGGTAAGTTATACTTTAAAAGTCCTATCAATTGAGATAGCAAATCATGCATAATTTTTTAATTTTAATTATTATAATGTTAGTTATTTACTAAAAAAAAATGCACTAAAAACAATATACTAAAAAAATGCACCCTGGGGTGACTTTGTGAAAAAAAAAATTCTGAAAAAAAACATGCCAAGGACTTATAAATGTAAGCCTGGAGCAGGAAATTATTGTGATTACTACAGCAAAGAAGCGTTAGAAAAATGTTTGGTAGAAGTAAAAAATGGTTTATCCATTTCGAAAGTGTCAGAAAAGTTCGGAATTCACCGAAACACGATTTCGAACAAAATTCATGCGAAGCATTCGAAATATCACAGTGAATATTATTTTTCATTTTCATATTGTGATTTTTCATTCAGTTTCCATTTGTTAATTGTTTAAGACATTTAATAAGAGACTGCTAATAAGAGAGGATCTTGCAGAGTTGGAGGCAATTTGGGAGAGTTAAATGAGGGAATTCATTCAACTGTTCATTCATGTCAATTCTTATTAAATGTTTGATTGTACCTTAAAATCATAAAAAAAGTTACCTAAGATTTAATTAATAAGAAAAAATCTAAAAATGTTAAAAAGTCTATAAATTAGTTTTTATGTTCATCTTACGTAGATTTGTTAATACATAATACATATATATAATATACTTGTATTGTACGCTAACAATGTTAAATATTGTTTATTAAACCATTTTAAATCAAAGTGAATGAAAATAACCGAACTAAGTCATTGTTTTATTGCATTGCACAAAGTCACTTTGTGCATTCGACTAGTTGGTTGTTTACAAATAATAAACATTTCAAATCAGCTCTTAACTATGTTCAATTACTTCCCAGATAGCTAATAACAAATTTTAGATTAGATGCTGTACAATTCAGCATCTTTTAACTATTTTTTAATTAGATTAAAGTTGGAAAACTGAAAATTCTTGCACAAAGTCACCCTATCTGACGGTAGTCATTTTGTCCAAGAAACTAAATAAAGACTAAATATAAGAAAGAAACTAAATATATTCTAAAATGTAGAAAAATATATTCTATGATTGTACTCTTTTTTTTTTCTTTTTTTTTTCCTTTAACGGCAGGCACTGAACTTTCGTTCTTTACCTCGGAAGATACCGGAAGTGTTGCTCATTTAACGTTACCCAGTGGGCACCTGTGAACCTAAGTCACGGAGGCAAGCAACATCACTCATGCCACACTACCACAAGTAACCATTTATAGGGTGGGCCACATTCACACAACAGAGAACAACACACAGAAACATCTATGCCCTGGGCAGGATTCGAACCTGCAGCCACTGGCTTCATAGTCAGGCACGATGATCGCTCGGCCATCTAGCCGGCATGATTGTACTCTAAAAAGTAGAGTCATGAAACAAAAATAACTACTAATAAATATGTATGTAATGATAGTTGATTATAGGTCTAGATACAGTAATGTTAATTTTATTTTTAAAAGTAAGACAAAAATAATTATGCATTAAATGGAAAATAATTGGTTTACAATAAACTTACATAGTCATTTTTCTGAAAAAAATCATGTTCTATTTCGAAAAATATTCGACATAACAAGGTTTTGAGACTCTTTGACATTGGAAATAAAATTAACATTTTGTGGATATGTAATGTGCAAGGGGGAAAATATTTTTTTGACATATCAAGGTTTTCGAGATATCAAGAGTATACCTACTGTTGTACAATTGTTTCTAAAATGCAATTATTATTTTTGTGGAATTCATCGCACTAATTACTATTAATTATAAATTAATTCATAAATATGCAGAAATGTTTTATGAGAGTTTAATATTTAAGTTAAGAAAACAAATAAAGTTTGCTTTACTATAGTTAGAAAATGCAGATGGGAATAATTGTAGAAAAAAAAGACTATTAATATGAGTCACTCTTTTTAAAATTAAGATTGGAGAAAATAATTACTATGATGCTCTTTATCATTGTGGTAAATTCTGGTAGAAATACTTTCTGACCATTCATGTTCCACTTGTGCAAAACATTGCTTTAAGTTTTAATTATTATTGCAGTAATTATCATTGCATATAATTATCGTATCCAATTTTCAGCCACCATTAATTCATACCTCTAACTCTTCAGATTTTGGTGGAAGACTTCTGGATTTTGAACCCATTTTATGATCTTCCAATCAAAAACAAGAATTTTCCTTTTTCTTCTACTTTTTTTTTTCCTTCCTTTTTCTACTATTTAATTATCCTCTTTATTTAAGTGAATGATAAAGAAGAACTAGCTTTTTGAAAGAATAGATTTTATGAATGAGAGAATTATGAAGTATAAATTTTACTTATTTAGTGATAAAGATGTGAGTGGTTAAAAATGTCTTGAGAAATACAGATGTGGGAATTTTTAGGAAAATTTATGTTCTTAGTCCTAAGAACTGACATTAAATAAGTAGTCAATGAATTGGCTATACGAAAGAGGTAGGTCAGAATACATATTGAAGGAGGACAGATATACATAATTCAACTAAATTATGATTTTATCCTCCATTTATGTAAATAGTAATAAAATTATTCTTCAAAAGTTACAAGTAGCTTCTCTTCTTACTAAGAACTTGAAATTGCTAATTAATCTAAATTCTGAATTCCTGTTTGCTAATTTAACAGAAAATAAATATTTTTTCTTTAATATCAAAACAATCTATAAAATTTTTTATAACAGTGAAATAGCTAAAAGAAAGAGCTGGTGTTAGTGAATCAATATTTTAACGCACACATATTCTCTACTATATTCGCAAGTGAAAAATTTGATCCCAATCAGTTAATAATGTTGAGCATTATGTAAAACATAGATATTTATAGAAGAGACAGTAAGGTAAGTGTAAAGATATAAATTTTTTTTAAACAAGTTAACAAAATCATCAATCACACTTTTTAAGGAATTTTACTTAAATATCCTCTATAAGGGATGTGTGTTGACATTCTTGATGATGTGATCTAGTTCATCACCATGTTCCATTTCCAAAGAAATGATGTGGCGATTATTTTATTAGAAATTATTGCTAATGGTAGGTTGGAAGCCAAGGGAATTACTATGATAAAATAATTATTCACCCTAACTTCAGAATCACATGCTGAGTATCTAGAATATGGATTCAGAAATATTGTATTCTGAGTCTAAAATTCTAAAACTGAATCTTGACCTCGTTACCAACTATGGAGGTTGTTGAATCCACAGAGATATGCTACACAAATTTGAATATCAGTGACAAGTATGTTTTGTAGTAATTATGAAATGTCCAACTCTGATTTTTTCTGATTGTGAATTGGTCATTTACAAGTTTGTTCCATATAGAATTTAGCCCTAAGCCACATCNTTTTTTTTTTTTTTTTTGTACTTTAATCCTTATATTAAGCCATCCAACTCCTTATTTTAAGTCAGTTATTTTGTGGGAAACTTTACAAGTTATCAGTTATTCAATCCCTAAAGATATTTTAACCTTTTCAGTTTTATGAAATAATATTATGAAAAGAACATTTAAATTACCTATGAAAGGTATGTGTTGATTAGGAAGAATGCTGGATCACATAAAAGTAAAAATTCTTTATAATGCTACAGTCTGGAACTGAATCAAATTTTTACAATAATCTGTTTAATAATCCAGGCCCTGTGGCTGAGTGGTAGCGTTTCACGCTGCAGTGCCTAAGATCTGGGGTTATCTTTGGACCGGACAAGGTTGACTCAGCCTTTCATCCCTTTAATAGGTCAATAAAATGAGTGCCAAAGATGCTTGGGCACTAAACACTTGTTATTACAAAATCCGCTGACCACCTAACTAGAAAACCTGCTGCTGCGCCCTTGGCCTTCCATTGTCTGTCGTGCCACTGAGGTTTTTTTTAAAATCATTATAAAGAAATTTTAATAAATCAATGTAATCTATAATATATATTGTTTTAATAATGGCATTATTTAAACAAGTCATTTGTTTAAATTTTTACTAACATTGTGACTTTAAAATCATTTTACATAAAATGCACATTATAAGTTAATAATTAAATTTTTCATAGCCTTTGAAGATGGTAGCTATGTATGGTTGGTATTGGCAATATGTCAATTTTCTATTTACATATTGAATATAAAGTCACTGAACACATTCTGTAAATAACATGTTTCCAAAATAAAAGAAAAAGATGTTTATGCGTTTGGGTTTTTAAGGAAAAAATTTTAATAAGTGGCATTGAATAAATTAAGGTTTAAAAAAACCATTGGCATTGGCTTAACACTAAAAATTCAACCCAGTAGCTTTTGACATTTCACTCTTGAGAGTGCAATTGAAAAAGATAAGTTAATTGGTTCATTCTAGCTAATTAATCAGTTCTTTTGCAACAAAAAACAGATCGTATTATTTAACGTGAACTGTACAAGCTTCTTTTTTTTGGTACATGTTGCCCATGCATTACTTCTTCTTTGATATCCAGTTAATATTAACAAGATACAAATGTTTCATGTTATTCTACGATAATAGAATGGCATTCAGCTAACATTTCTGAAATCTCTCCTTATTTCCTATTTGACATTTTTATATTGTATTGATTGAAATAAATGATCAAAACTTAATTTATTTATAAAAGAGTTGAATGAAGGATAATTTACAAAAAATCTGTGAAGAAAATAAATCATGATTTGTTTCTCAAGTCTTAAAAATATCTGTCTGACATGTAGATTATGTACAGACATTTTATGCTTCTTGGGTTATTATATTGCTTAAATCCATCATTTCTTACAGAATGCTAAAAGAAACCAATTATTACAAATATCTTAGAATTAAATTATTTCATGTATTTATCTTCTCCTATTCCTTTTCATTAGTTTGATGAAAAGTAAAATGGAGGAGATAAAACAAATCTACTCACTCCTTCTGGAATGAAGATTTAAATTGGCATTGTGTTTGAAAGTAAGCCTCGCAAATTTCTCTGTATGAATAAATTTAGAGAAACTCCCAATAATAAAATACAATTATAGTGAACATGCGAAATAAAATTTTAAATTGTTAAATGTATATTTTATCTTTCATAGGTAAATTTCTGTACAATATGAATAAATTTTTAATGCTTTTTTCAATTTTTTTTTATTAGGATGTACAGTCTGCAAATGATGTTTCCTACAAGGAAAATTCTATTGCTAAAAAAGCTATCAGTTCTCAAGACATTATAGATGAACACAAGTCTTATAGTGTTTCAAAAGCCATAACTAAAAATTTTGATCATGAAGTACTAGCTTATGTTACTCCAGTAAGTGCTTGTATTTATCACAGTTCCAACAACTATTTTTCTAAAAATATCTGAAGTCATCTACTTCAATTGTGTTTTCATTGATGTTTTGGAGCTGATTTGTTATAGTTCAACTGGCTCTTTTTGGCCTTTCTTTGAGGGGGAGGAAGACTTACTTTTATTGGCCCCTATATCAAGTTTTGCAATCTTACTGCATTGAAATTTTCGATTTTATTTTCCCAAAGAAAAAATTAAAAATATCAATTACTGACACAAAAAAAATCAGTCAACTTCTATCAAATCTTGCAACCAAGGACAAAGATTTGATAAATGTTTACCAATATTTAGCATTAAACAAGCTTATAATTATTGAAAAATTAACATTTTATAATGTAAAAATGGAGTCATGGTGTATTAAATCTTAACAACTAATGAAATCTTTCAATTGTGTTAAATCTTTGTCACATTTGATAATTCTCAACAACATTGAATCAGATTTGTTGAACAATAATGTAATGATATTTGAGAAAAATAAACCACTATAGAAGCCTTAACAAACCCACAATTATTGATAAGTATACATTTAATAATTAAAAAAAAATTCAATAATATACACATAAAATTTAAGTACATTAAAATTACTTATAAAGCATGTAAATTAATTTTTTACTAAATAGCTTCTAAACTTATGCCATTCTTTTATCGAATTTGTCAGTGTTTTCATGGATCTATCATGCATTGCAATAAATGAACCCTCCAATTGCTAAATAAACTCTACAGCCATTTACCTAGAATTATGTTTCTGACTTTCTAAATTAAAATAAGACAAATTTGTTTTTAGCGTTTTTCCATTTTGATTTATTATTTTAAATGTTATTTACTTATTTTGCTTTTTTTTCTGAATTTTTATAAATCAGTTTCGTTCTTTGATTAAAACTACCTAACTCATCTTGGTTAGAGGTTCACTCTTCTTAACTATGGACTAGTAGGTCCTTGTTTGAATCCATGCCACTGCCAAGGATCATCTCTTACATCCAAGGATCATCTTCACGTTGGTGATCACGGACCAACTCATAGATGTCACCCTCCTTCTGCGATAGATAACAACACTACACTACTTTGCTTCATTCCACAGTTAACATTCATTCAACAAACAAATCTGGGTCTCAAGCAACATATAGGCTAAAACCATGCCATTTTGCTCTTGACTACTCAGTCTCGTGAGATGCTCTGAGAGACACTCATGAGACATTGAGTCAAATTTTCTTGTACACTAAAAAGGGAGTGTACAGCCATTAAAATATAAAGCTTTCTAACTCATCCTGGTCATTCACGACAGCAGCCTTACACCTTCTACTATAAAGTTTAAAATAAAGCACCTCTAAAATAATCAGTTCTATAGTCAGATTCTGCACATATGCAAGAGATATTCAGCGTTGATTTGAAGATTAAAATAAACAATCAGCATAGACTTTATCTGAACAAACAACAATGTAGAGAATTCTGGTGTAATTGGTAATAATAATGATAAATTAATACAATTAGAAACATTTCAAACAGGAGATAAAAAGAACTTTTAAATCACTTGAAATTGAGCGTTTTCTTTTTAATTTTATCGTAATTTTAATTTTTAAATGGGTTTTGAAAGTGAATTTGATGAAAACATCAAATTTGAAATAAAAATTTCCATAATTCTGTATTAAATTTTTTTAATGGATGTAGCTGAATTACTAAAATAATAAACGAAAACCGTTCCATGTCAAATTTCTAAAAAAAAATGGTAGGCTTTCTAACTATTAAAGATTATTTCTTATTTTTAGTGGAATAATCATGGTTATGATATTGCTAAACTTTTTGCTGCTAAATTTACTATGATTTCACCTGTTTGGCTTCAAATGAAACCTAAGGACAATAAAGGTGCAGTGCTAATTGAAGGGCTACATGATATTGATGAAAATTGGATGTCTACTTTGAGACAACATAATAAAAAGTTGAAAATTGGTAAGACACTTAATATTCACTGCATTTTGTGTTGTTATTATTTTTTCAACAACCTAATATTCTTTCAATAACTTAAAATACTCTTTTTTAGAAAAAAATTTTTTTTTAACTCTCAAAGCTACAATTTACATATTTGAAGGCAGGTCGTTGGGCTACCGAAGCGGGAGTGCCATCCCCCCTGCAGAGGATCAAAATTGTGATGGCATGTCTTCGGATCATCCTCAGAGATGTTTCCCAGACCGTTGCCAATAGCCAATTGTGCAGCTCTAGTTCAATGTAAATAAACTACAACAACAACGACAACATATTTTAAGGCAAATTCAGATTTTGTAAATTTGCATATTTTCTGCCAAAACGAAGAAAAAAAATCTTTTTTTTTTTCTTTTTTTTTTACTAATCTGGTCCTAATATTTTTTTTTATTTTATGTTTAATAAAATATGCATATGAATACAAACTCAATTTTGTCACATGTTCTGTATTCCACAATAAACCATCTGATGTAAATTTTTACTTACAATTTAAAGTTATTGCATTTTAGTGTTTTTTTATACAGAAAAATTTTATTTAGTTTTTATTTATAAATTTTGAAAAACTTGAGTTGATTCCTTATAACTTTATGTGTTTTGTTTTTTTTATATCAGATAAACAGTTACTATCCCACAAGCATTAAAATGCTTGTGGGATAGTAAATAAATATTGAATTTTTTTTGTTACTGATATCCAGGGTTAGTGTTTTGCTATGACAAAAGCCTAGGGTGATAGTTACACAATCATAATGCATGTGAAGTTTTTTATGGTATACTTAATGTATAAGAATGTACACATTTGTAAATACTTTGATATAATTAACATGATATTTACATATGATATATGATATATATATATATNAGTACTTATATATATCAGTACTTATATATTATTTACAATTATTATATTAAAGTAAAAATTTTAGTTTTGAGCAACAACAAAAAAATTTATACTGTATTTACATATTTTCTTTTCATACTTTATATAAGAACTTATTTTACTTTTTATAATAAATCAAAATAGTTAGTTTTTATTAGCAAATTTATTTATCCTTTTTATGGGAAAAATTTTAATTGAAGATTAAATGTCTGAAAAATCAAAAAATTATGGAGGAATCAGTCTTAAACAAGGCACAAGTTATTCCTTGTTTGTGTGGTAAGATTACAACAATAAGTAAAACAAAGAATACAATTTGTAATTTGGGGTCTTTTGGAACTAAGATCTTAGATATGTTATTAGTGGCCTAATCAATTTCTGAAAAAGAGAGTTTAGTTTTGCAATTGTAGACACATGTACAGGGTGTGTAGCATTTTTATGTGCTTAAAGGTGCTTATTTTTGATTTACGTTTTTTAAAAGTGCTTTTTTTCTGGATTTTTAAAAAGTACTTAATTTTCTATCTTTTAAGAAGAAATTTTTTCTTTGCCATATCGATTGTCATTCTAAATTACAAAAAATTCATGATTTTCGCAATTTTCTTTGCAATATTTTTCAGAAACTAGTTACTTTATCATGATTATGTTAAGTTTTTGAAAATTTTTTTGAATTTTATTGATTTTATGTTAAGAAATTTTTACGATAGAAAAAAATACTTTTTATTACTGCACAGATCCTAATTATGATTTTTCTTTAGAAAAGTGATTAAAAATATTTTTTGAGTGCTTAAAAAGTACTTGAAAGGTGCTTATTTTTTGCTGAAAAATCTGGCTACGCACCCTGATGTAAGATTAATTACTTGTTTAACTTCCTGCTCATACTTATTTGATTTCAAAGTTATAATCCCTTTTCTTAAGAATCCTAAAGGTATATTTGAATAATTTTGCATTACAAATTATTTAATTAAAAAAAATTAATGTGTTTTAGCTCAACAAAGAGCACCTTTTTAGCTTTAATCATTAAAAAGAGATGGTAAGAATTTACATAACAATAAAACAAGGGTGATATATCAATAAATAAACAATTTATATAGGGATTGATTTCTGCATGAACAGATATTCATGTTTGAGCTTAATCAAAAACTAATGTATTTCATAATATTCTGCCTTATTAAATTATTTGTTACAGTGCCCAGAATTATTTTGGAGCAATGGACCTATCCTCTCCTGAAACCGCTTTTAAAAGAAAAAGCAGCTACAGATGATGCCAGTGCTGAATTAGTTAACTTAGCTAAGGTAAACATTAAAACTTTATAGAGCTTTTATTTGCAAGTTGCCTTAATATCTATTCTTAGAGTTTGTTCAAAAAATGCTTAAGGTCCTAAAGAGAAAAGGGTTGTAATTTACTTATTTTTGCTGAAAAGGGGGGAGAAAGGGGATGCTTACATAAAAATACTAAAACTCTCATTTAAAAAATAAATAAAACAATTATTTTTTTCAACTTTCATCTCAATTTTATTCTGAAATTCTAAAAATGTAGATAAATACAGTGTAAGTGTTAAGTTAAAAAGAAAAAAAAACGGAAGGGGTGTTGTGACCTTCTGACTTAAACGAAGGGGCTTGCGACTTGCTTATTTTTACTGAGATAGGATCAAATATTGCCAAAACCTACTTAATATTTTAATGGCTCCTTATATATGGTTTACAATTCTGTATAATGTTATGCGTGATTCATTAGATTTATAGTATAGTTAAATTTCAACAAAATTTTTGTTTCTATTTCCTTAAAATTAAGAAATCACCATCACTGTTTTTCCATTATAACTTAAAGATATTACTTTAATTTTATGTTTAGAAATCGATTCTAAGGTTTTGAATATAGCAGTTTTATCTTTAATATACTTATTTATTCTTTTTATTTTAAGAAAAAAAGTTTTGATGGCTATGTGATTGAAATCTGGAGTCTTCTAGGTGGCCAAATGAAAATGTAAGTTTTCTTTTTCTTTTTTGTGAAAAAGTGCATTGCATATTGAATGAAAAATATTAAATATTTTATTTGTATACAGATTTTATTTGTCTTATCTTAAAATTGATCTGTTTTAAAACAGGCTCTTACATTTTTATCTTCTTAAAATGTGTAGTGTTTTTAAAATAATTGAAATTTCTTTTAAATATTATAATTGTAATCCTCAGTTACTTCCTTAGTTACTCAGTTAAGCATTTGCATTTTTGAACTTAACATACTTAATAAAAATTATTTTCAGTATCTGTACTAATGAATCCATTGTTCATTCTGAAATTTTTTTTTCTTTTGGTATTATTTATGTTTATTATTATTTATCCTTATTTAAGTATTCCTTTATACAAGTAAACTAAAATTTATTTTCTTATAAAATTAATATTCCGTAAATACCTTAGCAAAATCTGATAAAAGGATTGTACTTACACATCTTAATTATTATGTTTGTTTAAAATTCGCTAATTGACTGTAAATCACATGCTCTTGTGAAACACTATTGTTTATGGAGTATTTATAGTAGGGTTGTTTTTGCCATGGAAAAGAGGATACTGTTAGTGAAACCATCTCATTATTATCTTGTTTTCTGGAAAAATCAAGAACGCTAGCTGCGAAGATTTATTGAAAGTTAAAATGAATGTAGCAAACTGTTTTCCTCATTAAAAAATAGTTTAATAAGTCTCTAACCAGGAAATTTTATTACTTGAGTAAACAAGCTAAAAGACGCCTGGTAGCTGAGCGGTAGTGCTTCGCACTGTCGTGCCACACGTCCTGGTTTGATCCTCGGACCGGGCAAGGTTGACTCAGCCTTTCATCCCTTCAGTGGGTCGATAAATGAGTACCAAGCATGCTTGGGAAATAAACACTGGGGGTTCCGCATTCGGCTGACCACCTGACCGGAACATCTGCTCCTGCACCCCAGAGCCCAAGGTCAAGAAAACTGAGATGGGCACAGTAGGCCTTGGCCCTCTTGGGTGGTCGCGCCGCTGAGTTTAGTAGTAAACAAGCTAAAAATGAAATGATTTTGATACCAGTTCTCTTTCATGTTCTAAAATCATTTTAAATTCAATAAAAGTAAATTTTACTGTAAATAAAAAATATCTGATATTAAAATTCATTCTTGAACTTTAATATGTAATATCTTGGTGAAATTATTTAAAAAAGCGGAAAGAAAAAAAACGTAACTTCTGAACAATCAAACATGATAATGATTGAGTATATTATTTTATTCAAAAAATTTGGCTAATATTTTTTTATTGTTTGAGGTTTATAACAGTGTGATTATGTGGCAGATTTTAAAAAATAAAGCTTCATACTGATAGTTTCACTGCTGTCCAAATCAGTTTCTTGTGAGTTTAAAAAATAATAAATTTAATTATTTAAACTCTAAAAACAGACTTATTTAGATTATTTAATTACCTTTCCAAAATAACCGATCTCATAATCTTATTGCTTTGAATCTTTGTGAAAAACAAAGCTGTAAAAATTATCAGATTTTAAATTTTATAATCTATAGCATTTCTATCTCCAATTTTTAAAAGCTATTATGCTATCAAATAATATTCCATCATCAGAAGTTTGTTACATTTGAGAAAGAAAGCATTGATTAAACAGAAATAAAAAAAGTTACCTTATCAAAAATGGTGAGATGGATCTTAATATATATTAAATTATTCATATTTATATTAATTAACTAAGTAATTTTCTATTGTTAGTATTTGAAAAGTTCGAAACTACTTTCATTGCTCATTTAGCCATTGGCCATTGGGGCAGGGTTTGTTGATTTAAATCAGGTGATTTATATCAAATGATTTTTTTTTTTTAAATCATTGATTTAAATCGATGGATTTTTTTATATATATATATATTGATTTTAAAAGTTAAAAAACAGTGTTTCAATTATTAATACTTTTATTATTTTCTTTTCTTAGTTTTAAAATTTATTTTAAATAAATTGCTACATTAATTAATTTTAGTTAACGAAATTACTTTCTTTCTTGATGTGTGTTAAATTCCAACACATTTGAAATTACATTTTTAAAAATTTATTGATTTTTGAGATTGAATGTACAGATTAAAGTAAACATTTAATGCTGTCTTAATATAGACTTGCATAGCTGTAGAAAGTAATTAATAAGCATTATTTTTTTTTTAAAAAATGCAAATAATGTTAATTAAAATTCTACCTTTTAATTGAAAAATCATGGAATTAAAATCTACATTATTTTATTGTAATCTAATTTATTGAAAATGATTATTTTAGTATAAAAATATATAGATTAAATATTTATTTATTTTTTGATGAATGACTACATTTATAAACACAGTCTGTTACATTTATTTTGTCATTTTAAAAATCAAAAGAAAAAAAAAAGAAATCACAATTTTAAATTAAAATTATGGTTTGCTAATTGAAACTTTGCTTTAATACTTAAAGTTAGCGTTTAGCGGTATCTTCACAAATTCAACTTTAGGAAAAACTGTAGAATAATTTCACAAAATATTTTTTCTTAAAATATTATTTTTTTGTCTCGTAAGAAACGATAAATCCATATTTTTACAATATTTTTGTGTTGATTTTTTAATATAATTTTTTTTCACAAATTATTTTTAAATTTTCACGAAATAGGTGCCTCTCAGAAAAACCAAAACAGACCCCTGAAGTACTCTTTAAATTCTCTATTTCACCTAGTCTTTAAATTTCAATCATGCGTTTGTTCCAACATGGTTGCCATGCATTTAAAGCTATGCATTATAACGAAACATTATTTTAGTAAAGAGCAGGGTTGGCAGGTTTTTGACATGTGACAGTTTTTGACAGTTTAAACCGTCACGTCAAAAACCTCACTGTCAAAAATGTCGGAAATGTCAAAAACCTATATTCATATATGAAATTTAATTAATACATAAAATTTATATATTTTTTATAAAGGATAGTGTTTCTAAATATGTTCTAGAAAAAATAAATTTAAAATTTTGAAGAAACACTTATATTTTGAATAGTAACCAAAATCTTGTACTTTTGAAAGCTCACATCTTTTGTAATATTATGTATTCATTTTCATGTGTTATTGAAAATCTGCAGTGATATTATTAAGAAATTTATTTATAACCAAATTTAGTGTATAGTATAGATTATACTAAAAATTAGACATTTTTAAAGATAAACATTAGCAGTTTTGTACATTAGACATCTTTTAAAGAAAAATCTTTTTAATATTCTTTTAAATCTTCTTAATAATCTTTTTAACATAAGACAATACAAATTTAAGTGCTTTCTGTTAAATACACAGAGTAGTTAGTGTCGATTTACAGTATATTCAGCCTATTCATTTACTATGCTGAAAATTTAGTTTATCCAAATACTTGTGAATTTCATTTTGCTGAATACGATATAGTTTTGTTGAATATCTAAATATTCAGCTGTTGAATAATTACTTCTTGCTTTCAAGATATGCATTATTTGTATTCTTAATACAAGTGGAGAAAAAAAAATTAAGAGATGAAAATTGTTTTAAAATGATAAGTGTAATAATTATAAATAAATATAATAAACAATATGAATTATATATATCATTATTCATAAATATAACTACTTTTAAATTCAAATTAACATACAGGATAATAAAGATATTCGGTATAACATTAAAAAATTTTTTTATGCACTTGTATCAAGTTTGTATTTAGACAACATAACTTGTAAGTTCCTTATAAATATCAGTTATATGTTCTTTATATGTCAAAAATGCATAGTAAAAAACTTTTAATTTTCTTAAGTATAAAAAAAAAAATTTTAAATATAAATATTTAAACAATTTTTGTGCAAAATTTTTTTGCACATGCATTTGAATATAAATTTCTGAGATTTTAAATCTGTTATTTTACCTTAATTTTAATTAAACAATATTTTAAATCCTGCTGATTACCTATAGTATAATTAAATTTCAATATAATGCATGGCAACTGTTGGTAGTTTTGAAGTTTATATATTTTCTTGGCAAACTTCAGTTTTTGACAGTTTAAACCAGTATTATACCCTTGCCATGTCAAAAACCAATTTTTGACGTCAAAAACCCAACCCTGGTAAAGAGCTCCTAAAATATTGTTATAATATAGTTTTAATGTTAATTTATTTTGACTAAACATTTATAAAGTATTTTTAATCATAAATGAAATTTCTTACAGTGTATTTGAATAAAAATAAAAAAAAACCTGATTTAAATTAAAAAAATCAGATTTAATTCAAAAAAATCACAAACCCTGCATTGGGAACATGTAAACTGAACCAAAAGCCCGAATAGTGTAACCAGTTTAAATATTTCAAAGAAAAAATTTGTTTATTTTTTTAACTGTATTTTATTATGAAACACCATTTTATAAATATGATGTTCTTTGTGTAAATGAGCAGTTTATAAAACTGTTGATACACAAGCTTGAAATACAAGATTGGTATTTATTTAAGGGAGTTGACAAAGTTCCTAGTTAGATTGGCAAACTTACTGCAGCACCATGGATTATCTCTCATATTGGTGATACCACCTCCATCATATTCTGGGTAATCTTATCTTTACTTTGTTTTTGTGCTTATATTTCTAAATATTTTTAAAAGTTTCAAAACAACTCTTTAAGGGAAATTTCATTCTATTTCTTTGTTATGTATCTTCATTTGTAACTACGTTGATGGTTTGTTAAAAATTCAAATTCATTAATTAATGCAGTTATCATTTAGTGACATACCATAAGATTCAACTAGTGAATATCTTCCTCGAAGCAATTTCGTATCTACTATTTAATAAAGCCATTAAATCTGAATAGTAAACTTTTTTCTACACTGGTGTAAGAAATTAGAGAATTTGCTAACTTGGGTGATTATCTTAAGAACTAGAGGACCAATTTTTATAAAATTTGATATGTTCATACACTGATACGATACAAAACAAATAACCACTAAACAATTGTAATGCACATGCATGATTGTGAGTAATACTCGTTGGAGTCGGAATGTATGTAACAGCAGTTTCAGAATAAACAAAAAAATTACTTAATATCACTATGGTCCCCTGTTACAGATATACTGCCCTTGCAGTGTAATTTCATACTTGAAATAAGTCAGTTTATCATTTCCTGTTGCAATTTGCCTGAATTGTCCTGTGGCAATTTAGCGATCATGTGCATGTATTATGATTGTTGAATGGTTATGTGTTTTATATTGTATCAATGTATGTACATACCAAATTTCATTAAAATTGGTCCAGTAGTTTTAGAGATAATTGAACAAGTATGCAAATTCTCTTAATTTCTTACATCAGTGTAAATAATGCCCAATAGAAAAATAATTGCAATCGTGAAAAAAACTATACAATATCAGAGATTCTCCTTCTCCCTCTGTGATAAATGTCTGCTTTGATAAGTGCTGTGATTAATGATTATTATACCTTACTCTAATACAGCTATTTAAAGTGTAAAAGGAAGAAATATATTTGTATTTTGAGTTAAAAAGTATTATTAAATCTAAAGTTTTCTTCTAAACTAAATATTTAGTGATTCAATAATATTGTTGGTCATTGTAGGAGTGATATGCATTGTGATATGATATAGGAGTATTGTATACTGTGAAGTGCTTTTTGTTTCAAGGAAAATTTTATCATTTGTTGTATCAAATGCTTTTAAAATAAAGATGACTTTAGTCAATACACTAGTTTTCTCTCTGCCTATGACTTGCAGCCGAAGGGGGAGTCAAAAGTTATTGAAAAATTAAGTTTTTCTCTTCTCAACATTGCATCTTTGGACCTTTTATTTTCTATTTACTTGGGAAACTTTACTTTCAAGACAGATTAAGTTCAAAGATCTTTCTAATAAATAAGCAAAGACTGAATATAATTATTCGCATATAAATATTATAATTTTATATACTGCACTCATTTTATGCTATGGTGCGATCCAAGAATTTTTATTAATCATGTTAAAAATTCTTACAGTTAGGTTTTTGTACACTGTATAAAACTGTTTCAAAATACAAGAAAATTTTGCATTTGAAAAACTTTCCTATTCATTTCACTTTCAAATTTCATTTGTTGTGCAAAATAATGTATTAAGAAATAAGGATTTTAAAAGCCGTGTGAAACTCCATACCAACAACTATTAAAAAATTTTGTATCTAGACATCATAAATCTCAAATGAAATGAACTGGAATTGAGTGTACCAAAAATTATTAATGTACAACGGTTATCAATTAGTTCTTATACACTTTCACATTTTTATTGTAATAATGAAAAATAGATCATGCCAGAACTTTTGGCATTAATGTAAAGTAGTAATCATTAAGTATCTATACAGGAATTATACCTCCTTTGGAGTATAATTCCCTTTGAAATTATACCTACCTAATATTTAAAATCCAATCTTTTTAATATGATATTATTTATTACAACAACCGAATCTCAAAACAAAACACATATTTGAGTAACCTCTTTTTGGAGAGTCTAATTCTTGATCTTTTTTTCGGTAGTTACTGCCCCAGATTTTGCAATTTTTAATCATAATTTTTTTTTATTTTTTTTAAATGATGATGTTTTACAAAGTATGAAAAATGAAATAATTAGTGCGTTTTTCCTTCTACAAAATGCCACAATATCGCCCATAAAATTAGAATAAAAAATATTACAATTAAAAAAGTTATTTACAATTTTATTTTATACAAGTAGTTTTTTTTCTTTTTGTAAACACAACTTTTTTGTTGCTTTAAATTTGTTATTATTAAAAGTACCTTGCAGAAAGATATTAGTGCTAGAAAGGTTCAATGCTGAAAGTCTGAAAAAATTCTGCCCCAGGGCAGAAATATTTTTTGTAATAATTGAATTTAAGTCAAAAGCATCACATTAGTTTCATTTTTTTAAGTCATTCTTAATAACTTGCATATAAAGCTGGTAAATATTATTTTTTTATATAAATTATTTAACATTTTTTAAAATTAACTAAACAATAGAATTTCCCATTCCTATTTTTAAGTACATATTATTTATTTAATTTGTAGGGGAGAAACTGGTATGTTTAATCGCCAAGATTTTGAAAATCTGGTTGATCATATTACTGCCTTCAGTCTAATGAGTTATGATTACTCCAGTCGGCAAAGGTAATCTATATTATTTATATAAAATTGTTTCCTGTTACAGTTTTAAAACAAATTTTAATTTTATTGAATAATATTTGATAATTATCAAAAAAAATTTTTGCTTAACTTTTTGTTTTTAAGCAAGGCTATCATATTTAATGTTTTTATTCAGTTTAATTGTAAGATACAGTCAATTACAATAGTTAATGTGCTGCTTAATATGCCCTACCTAGGGAGAACACCAGTTCCAATGTGAGAACGTCCTCCCTCCTTATCTCCTGCTCACTTGTAATACATTATTTGAACCTTTCATACTAACTTCTCGCTTTTTGATTATCTAAAATATATTTTAAATTTTTCATAACTCTTCCTTTAAGCACTATGTTTTATGCATTTTGAGCTATATACAGTTTCCAAACTTAAAACTTTTAATCAGTTTCAAAATCAAAATGAAACTTACGTACCTTATATGACTTAATACTAATAATAGCTGTCTGAATCCTTTTTGAAATGCTGTAATCAGAGTTCTAAAAAATTATGGCATTAATTTATGTGTAAATTAAGTATAAAATATACAGAAATAACTATGAGCTTGGTTTTTTTATTAATTTAAATTTGAAATTGTCTTTCTTATTAAAAGCTCATTTTTTAAGGGCGATGTGTTGAGTTATTATGTATTATAAGCTATAATTTCATGATTTAGGAATTTTACTTCTATTTTTTCTCTCAAAATCATCATAATTAAGTGAATTATTTTTCAATCAATTTGTACTTCTGAAGCTTTTGTCATTAATAAAAATTAGTAATCAAGTGAATAAATTTCATCTTCATCTGGAAATTTAGTAGGTTTTTACTTTACATTTAATCAAATTGCATAATTTCTATGAGTTTGTAATACTAATTTTTAAAACATTATAATGATTTTAAAATTTATCCTTGAACCATCTAAAAATTTAATTTAGATGGTCCATGAAAAGGCAGACAATTAATTAGAATTAAAAACTACTGTTCATTTCACATTCTTTTTTATAAAATCAATTTTTCTTTTTTTTCTTAGTATATTCGTATATTGTTACTTAACATTCCTAATGTGTTTCTTTCATTGATTGAGTAAATAAATTTTAATTGGAGTGTTTAGTCTTTTTGTATCGAATTATTAATTTTTTTACATGAATTGCATTTTGTTGAATTATTTATGTTTCCAAATTTTTTTTCCTACTGGTTCTTACATAAGATTTAGCTTTTATTCATTTTCTTTGATAGGTCTGGACCAAATAGTCCCCTTAATTGGCTTCTTCATTGTGTTGAAGATTTAATACCAGATAAATCTAGTCCAAATCGTAAAAAATTGCTTTTAGGCTTAAATTTTTACGGATATGATTATTCTAGCGGATCTGGAAAACCAATTGTTGGTCATGAGTAGGTTACTTTTTATATATTTTTTTATTAAATTTATGAAAGTCATTGTTATTAGTTGTGTAATTGTGCAGGATAATTTTTTTTTTTTGTTCATGAAGTATACTTAATTATTGGAATAATGTCACATTTTAAGGCTCAAGTTATTTATTTGAGTATAATGTTAAGAAAATTTACTGACTGGTGCTGATTTTTTTAAATATTGAATTGAAAACTAAGACTGATCTCTTTTTAAATATGAAAATCAGAATGATTGAAAAAGAAGTAGCTAATTTACTCTTTTATCTTATAGATTCTAATAATAATATTGTTGCTAACTTTTTTTTTTACCTACCAGAGTGTATTCAACTTTGAAAGGGTATGAGTACCATGCACCTGAATTATTTATGAAAACAATGGTAAAATAAGTAAATAAATAATCGAATCATTCGTAGGTCATATTAGAGACTTAATTAGTTTTAGAGCTAAAATTTTTAACAAATGTGCATTGTTTATGGTTCAATAGAAGGTACATCAGTTGATAAATGTTCAGTTGTTGTTTAATGATAATGGATGAGACATAAAAATGTTGGTAATGGATCAGTTTGATGGTAATAGATGAGAGTTATATGTAGTGAGAATTAAAAACCTAATAAAAATAAAGAAAAAGGTGGAGAGGAAAGATTTAAAAAATACAAAAACAATCATCAAAATCTCTAGATTTTCTTGCAAGTGAGCATGCAATGCAAATTTTATTTTATCTGGTTTAGAACTGACTTTTTTTTAAAACTTGATTTTTTTTTTAAAGTTTTTTTTTTGTATATATTGTTTCCTTTTTTTATGCTAACAGTTTAAATATATTTTGCACTCTAAATTGAAAGCAACAAAACCATAATAAAGTACAGTACAGAACCCGTTATCCGGAAATCAGAAAACCAAAAAACCGGAACGAAATTCGATAAATTTTTGCGCCATTTTTAAAAAAAAAAAAAAATTTCCTCATAAGATTTTAGGATTTTTTTTTTTTTTTTTTGAAAGATGTTTACCTTACCATCATTTTGGAAATAATCATTAGTGTATTCCTTCATCGGTTTTTCTTTTTAAGATTATTTCCAAAAAAAAATTTTTTTTTTTTGGGTTTAACAATTAACAAATGGCTTTTTATAGCGATTCAGAGAACCGGAAAAATCAGTTATCCGGAATAGCGATGGTCCCGATCGTTCCGGATAATCGGTTCCCTACTGTATTTCATAAAAAGTTAACATGACTCAATTAAAAAAGTTCTGAAGTTTTGAATATGCTATTACATTAATTAAAATTTCTGCTTAGTGTTCAAACAAAAATTTAATATCTAGAAGTTATATTAATAATGAGAGTTTCTTTCTTGTTTATAAATATTATGTGAAAATGTCATACTTCAAAATTATTTAATGTCCTTATTTAGCAGTATACAATTTCCTTATTTAGCGGTATAATTTTAATTCGGTATTACTAGGGATGTATCGGTACCCAACAATTACCTGGTACCTAGTCAGATTTTCATTACCTAATTTTACCAGAACCCAGCAACAGAATTTTGGTACTGGGTACTCGGCCAGTTTTACTAATTATTCTATGCCATGTAATTTTCATTTATGTTCACTACCATATTCAGATTTATATTTATCTTAAATTTACTCATAAAAATAATTGTAGTTTTGAAAATTCATATATTAAATCAGTTTTTTTATAATCAAGCTAAAATAACTTGTTAAGGCATATTTTACTTACATACTATGCACTTGATATATTTTACTCTTAAGTAAAATTGCAATTCATGAAAATCATGGTAAAGTGGACAACTTTAAGACACTGAAGTATGTTTGTTTAAGCGATATGTCTACTTAGAAAAAGGACATGCAGATTTTGAAATCTAATTCTGAAAACTATTTTAACTAAATTAATGTGATAGTTAAATAAATACAAATTGAATAATGGGAAATACATTTATGTTTGTTTAAAGTTAATAAAAGCAAATTGATTTAAATTAATATCTTAAAGGTAACTTGTGAAAAATACTAAATTTGGTTTCAGAGAATGAATAAATGAAATAAAGTTTTTATTATTTGCATTTGTAGGCTTAGCATTTATTGAAATATAATAGACAACAGTTGCAAACAGAACATAAATATTTTCTTTCAAATGACAGATTCAATTAGTAGTAGTATTGGAATAATAAAACATCTTTGAAGATTAATTTCCTAGTAAATGAAAGCAATTGTTAAATCAAGACAAAATGAATGAAATTGCTCGCCAGTAACTTTAAACTGAATTTTTACTAGAAAGCATGTTTCTAACTCATTGGCTCAAAAAATTCAATTTTTCTTACCGTCATTACATTCATTTACTAACTGGCTAATTGTGGGCACTTTCTGCTGTTTTTTTCTGTGTAAGGCAATTGTGGAGTCAAACACAAAGAGTTTTACATTGACGCAAGTTTGTCCCTTATTTGTTGCCTAATCTAAGACTTGATTTCTCTTTTGGAATTCAAAATTCCTAGGACATGGAGATAGAATCATAACAGCAAAACCTCTATATGAATGTTTTGTAAACAAGACATTCATTTTCTAAACAAACAAGACATTGGTTGTAGATTAAAATTTCTCACTGCATATTGAAAAGTTTAAGAGATTGTATTAAAGTAGATGTCATTGCATATAAATTTTCTTTATAGTTATTGAATGATTATAAACTAACTATGATAATTAAAACATTTTTCATTCTATATGCTTTGATTTTATTCACATATTTTTAAAATATCCTGCTTTTACCAGAAGCTACATTACTAAACGCCATTGAAAATTTAGGTAAATCAAATAAAAAATTAATTAATTAAAAAATCCAATATTAACAGATGTCTTCACTTCTCATCCTAGTATGACATTAATCATTCTATATCCAAGCAGTCATCCTAAATTTCTTTTCAAAGCTTTTTTTAAAATTTACTTTGACAAAATTTTAAAATAAAAGCATATGTTTTTATTTATATAGACACACAATAAATTTAATTAAAACTATGTCTTAATTTTTATTCAATAGAAAATGATAAAATTTTTTATATTGTTTTGCATAAATGTTATTATACCCGAACAGGTCATCAATGTGAATTTTAACGGGTACCTGGGATCATTCAAGTAAAATATTCAATTGTTTTTAGTGAAAAAAAAAATTTGGCCTTGGCATCTCTAATAATTATATTTATTAAATACATTTAAAGGCAATCAGAGCTTGGAGTTGGTGATTAGAGATTTATGATTTAACTTTTTGTTCTCATTAATTTATTTTGTATCTATATTTTTTTAAAGCACAATTGTATGTAAACATTTAATAATCACATATTTATAGTTAATTCCAATTCACTTTAGCAATTAAACTAAAAATTAAAAAGAATTTTAGGGGTAAATTTGATAGTTTTTCACTTAATTATATTTAAACTAAAATTATTTATGTAAATTATGACAAGTGATGTTAAGAATTTTTTTTTTTTTAAAAAAAGACAGAATTTTAAAAAAATCATTTAGTTTAAATCATGGTTAAAAACACATTAGTTTAAATGGCCAAACCTGCTTGTCAATCTTTTTAAAAAATGTTATCAATACCTCTTCTTTGAGAAATTTCTGCTAAGAGAAATATTTCAATGAGTTCTAAGAGTAGAATATTAAGGTATGCATTGTCTTGTTTTTATTTTAATTTTCTTATATTTCTTCTTAGGTACATAGGAGTTCTGGAAAAACACAATCCAAAGCTTGTATTCCACAATAATTCTGGAGAACACTCTTTAACATACTGGTACTCTTTTAAATTGTAGAATTGTTTTATAATAATTTAAATTTTATAAATGTTTTTCTTGAGAAATGATAAAATTAAGTAGAAATTCTTTATTTATGTTTTATTTTTAAATTTTCTATTTCTTGTGAAAGAATTGCCCTATAATTTCTGGATAACTAAGTTCTGACTTCATTATGCTGTGTGTTTATACCAATTTAGACTATGACAAAAATTTAAAATTTGACCAAAATTTGTCAATTAATATATGTGCAAGAAAATTTCAAAGTGCATATATTTTTAAATTTCTACTTCTCAAAAATTATTTAAATTTGAAAATTTTTTGAATTTTTACTTATGTTATAGTATTGTTTCTCTTATAGGTCTGAAAACGTTAAGCATGAAGTGTTTTTTCCTACATTGTATTCAATCAGCATTAGGATGCAACTTGCTAAAGAATTGAAAACTGGGCTTGCCATATGGGAAATAGGTCAAGGGCTTGATTATTTCTATAATTTACTGTGATATCTTGATAACATGATGTAATTGCATTCCATATAATTTTGTAAAAGTCAGTTCATATACTTTAATAAAAGTATTAAAAAAAAATTCCTTTTTATAAAATTATTTTGGATGATTTGATCATGATTAAACTTGGAATCCCTATTACATCTTACCTAAATAGCTCATTACTATTCTACCAGGCATACAAATTTTTGTCCTCTGATTTTTTTTTCTTATACTACAAAATTACTCCTTCATTTTAAGATATCTCTTTGCATAAGTTTAAATTATCTTACAATTTTTACCAAAGTTATTATTTATTATGAAAGTTGTCTTTTTTTCAAATTAATGTCTAATTTTCAGTTACACATTTTGTATAAAAGCCTTAATTGTTTAATTTTTTTCCACATCTAAGGGTATGCCAGACAGTTAGCAAACCATTACTCGTAGTTTCAAACATTTTCTTATTGAAAGTTTTACCATGATAAAGTTTGGTATTTCTCAATTGAATCATCTTTCCTCAACCACCTCAAAATGTTTTAGTTATTGTTGCACTGAAATGATAAATGAAATGTGTTCTCTAGGAAGAAAAAGTATTTTACCTAAAGTTATGCAACACTTTTTTAAACTCTCTTAATACTTTAAAATTTACATTTTGATTTTAAGTTAAGTCAGTAGTTTTTTTAGACCCAGTTATGTTCCACATTACTGAAAATTTCTCATCTTTATGTTTTTATAAATTGTTTCTTTAATTAATAAAATGTCTCTTTTTAATAAAAAGGAAATGCACAAAAAGTGACCACTCTGTTTACTAATTAAATATTTTGTATGTAAGCTAATGTACGTAAATTGATAACTGATAAGTGACAAAACGCAAGAATTTTGAAATTTATTTTAGTATGTCACACACAAAATAATATAATTGTGTAAGTAAAAAGTGATGATTATTTTTTTAATCCATTCCTACAAGGGTTCATTGTAAATCAACAGCGCATTCAAGTAAATCAACCTTTTCTAAATTCCATATTACTTCTTTCGCTTGCTAATGAAACAAATGCATACAGTTTGTAATTTTGCAGTTACTGTAACTCTAACATCACACCTACGACTAAACAACAATTTAGACTTAACAATTGTTGTGGTCTAGACTTCAGGTTATGATACAAAAATATTAAAATACTCTTTATTATTTTTACTTCTAAACTATTAGATGATATACATTTATTATACAGATATCAGTACACAGGTACATTATATATACAAGTACAGAGCTATTCCACGTCACAAGTGGATTAATCAAGCATTTTATTTGGTAATTAAACCCAAAGATTTTAATAGGTTTTACTAAAAATATTTGTAAGCATTCATATTTTATTTAAAGTTATTTCAGGCATAGAAGTATCTTTACGAAAATAATTTTTGATTAAAAATGAGTTATTTTGCATATGTTTTACAAGCAAGATTTCAAGGTGAGAATGCCTTCTACCAAAGTATAGTTTGCAAAAAAAGGAAAAAAAAATTAAATAAATTTTTGGAATAATTCGTCAATCTATAGTGTGCAAAAAAAGGAAACACCCTGGATAACTTTTGATCTAATGATCTGATTTTCACATACTAGGACTCAATCTAAATAGTTAATATGGTCTTAAATTGATTGGTTAATGGTAAATATGATCTTAATTAACCTCAAATATGATGATTAATTAGAGCAGACTATATTTTAAGTTACGAAATCAGACACACACACACAAAACCGTGTATTCTGTGAACATACGTACCTTCTTTATTCGACAGATTCGCTATGCATACCCTCAATCAAAATATGGGGTTAGCCGCAATCGGGAAAATATGGTCCCTATAGTTTGGTCCCTTAAACCAAATTATACTTCTTGCGTATTCCGCCATAATTCGATAAATCTTTAGTCACAATTTAAAAATTTTTGCACACAATTATAAACAAAATTACAAGGCTGCGGAGTTGAACATTAGTAGCCGTGAACCCTCAATTGGATCAGCAGTTCAACGACGGTTATTATATAAAATTAAAAAAAATTCTCTGAAGCTATTCTGCACTTTTTGTTCCAATTTTATACTTAGTCATGTAAATTTACATTTTTTAAAATGATGTAAAAAATTGTATACCTTGCTTTTCACATTTTTTCAACTTCGCTTTCCTGACCAAACTATTGGGATTATATTTTCCAGATTTCAGCTACCCCACTCTTATTTTTAAGGTTAGGAATAGAAATTCGTTATAAAAAAAGGTATGTTTGTTTAGAAGAAGTACGTTTTTATCTCTTTCATAACTTAAAATAGCGTCTACTCTAATTAATTAGTATATTTGAAATCATTAGCCATTAAGTTTGAGTCCTCGTACGTGAAAATCCGATCATTAGCCCAAAAGGTTTTTAGAGTGTTCCGTTTTTTTCTTATATTCTTTTCTTTCACGCACTGTATACATTAACAGTTCATTAAAACTGCAAGCTGGTAAAAATATAAAAATGAAAGATATATCTACGTATTTTGAGGTACAGATGGGCTCAAACTTTTTAAGATATTTTCTACAAAAAGAATTTTTTATACTTGTGACTTCAAACCTTCCTTTTTCGTTCAATTTGTTAGAAGCTTTTACAATATTATAAATGAAGTCTCTGTGTATAGTAAGATTTTTTTATATTACTTCATCAATTGGTTATCAAATATTTCTGTAAGTTGGAGTTGTTATGTGAATTGGGCTCAACTTTACCGTCATAGCAGATTACAGTTTTATATCAATGAACATACGCATTTCAAGAAATTTCTTCATTAATTGTCTTTAATTATAGTTTCTAAACATTATCAATAACTTTAATTATGGAAATCTGTATTTAATATAAAATCAATAAATTTACGTAAGTAACATGTATTTTTAATATGATGATAGTGGTGTTCTCTATACTTGAATTTTGAAAAACATTGATAGTGTATGAATAACATCGATATTCCTCACTAAATGTTATTTTAAAAAAAATCGCATTTTTTAAGTCTAGCTTTAATTTTTTTTGTTTTCAATTACAGTTAAAACTGATCTTATAATCATTTTTTCTATTTTCTTTTATTTCTGATTAGACCAATTTTACGATTTTTATCTCTATGTTTACTATAGTATCGTTCAGTTATAAAACATATTGAAGATGCAAATATCCCAATCAATAGCAAATAAAATGCTGTGTAAACATCATTCAACGTAAGAGCTTGTTCTTTCTGAGACAACTTGTTATCGTGGTGAAGAGTACACACATCTGTCTTGGACAAGTGCTGTTGCATCCATTTTTGAATCAATCCATTTTTTCTTAAAGCTTCCATACTACGAAAAAAAATATACAAGTTAGTAGTTTCTTGTATAATATTAGTGAAGTTTTTTTTAAAAAAAAAATTAAGAGCTTCTGCTTATAAGTAAAGGAATTGAAGAACCGACAGTAAATTGCAAACGGAAAAAAATGTTTTTAAACACTATGCCAAATAACACTATGTTTTTAAACACTATGCCAATGTTTTTAAACACTATGCCAATAAATTTGTAACTTATTTCTATTTGCAGCTGTGTTTCTTCTTATGATAGGACTTGATTCGAACTACTTTCTACATTTCTTTTTTAATTTTGATTAAAAGGAAAATTGGCGCAGTTAAATATTATTGCTCTAAAAAAAATTTATGTATATGTAAAAAAAATTCGTGTCTATCAACACCAAAAACAATAGAAACTACTTAACGCCAAATTGGTGTAGTGAAATACCATTGATAACTCTTGGTTCTTCGCGTTTCACTACATCAAGGACTAAGAATAGTTTTTGGTGTAGTGAAGCACCAAGAATTTTCTTTTACATTACTTGGTGTAAAGTAGCTACCACCACTTTTGATATTCAGTAACTTTAAAATTTATAATTATAATAAGATATGATACACATAATAGTCAGCAAAGTCACTTTTACGATACTATATAAACAAAAAATCCTTTATTTAGGTTGCATACACTCACTAATTCTTAAAATAAAATTTGTTTGTTAATAATGCATGCACACAACATAGAAAGAATAGCAAGAAGAATTCAAACGAGGCTTAACAAAAGAGAAACGAAAAAAAAATATGTATTATAAAATTATTTAATATAATTGACAGATTTATGTAAACCTCCTTATGTGAACATAATTGACTATAATACAAAACTAAAAACTTTTGTAACAATTAAGCTGTGCTTCTGAGGAATATTCAGCAACATGAGGAACGATAAACTTACAACATTTCAGGCTGGATTGTAAACAATCTACCGTTGTCATCTGACGGTTTATAAGCATGAGCCAGAATTGGCGAAAATATTTCATGAATGGATTAAATACATATGAGCTTAATGTAGCTTTCTTAATTATTGTTGCTTAGATTAAACTTCGTCCTTTATAGTGTATACGAACATTTTCTTCAATATTAACTTGAGATAAGCATACATTCACACAATTTTTGGAGTTTTTCAACACCAAATTCGGATAGGTATTATACCACAGTTTTTACAGAGCAGGAGCTAAGTTGGTACATCAAACCACAGTTCTTTTTTTCATCCCTCCCGTAAAATAATATTTTAGAGCATGTTTTATTTTTGTTGTCAGCTATACAATAGTTATGCATAATTATCGTTATCATGAAATGATACCGACATGATTCAAAATGTATTTCTGTTTAAGTTTTAAAATTGTTCTGTTCAACTTAATAAGGTCCTCGATTTGCATCTTGCGTCATGACATTGTTCATATTTTTAAGAATACTTTTGTAGTAGTGCTTATTTTGTACATAATTCAAAATTGTTGTCACTAGTAACATTCCTATAATTAAATTATAAAAATAATGTCTTTCTTGAAATAAATTATCATTTTTTTTAATATCTTGCTGTTTCGCAATTGTTTCCGAGAAACTTTTAAAATATTTATTCATTCTGAAAAATTCCGAATCCAATAACGATGTAAAATACTAGCAGTCAGTGCTTTTTAACGAAAAATCCATTTTTACCGTAAAACGTTACGGGGAAAAAAATCTTATATACTGTAATTTTTAGAGTAATATTTTTAATTTTTAGAGTAATATTTGCTGTAAAATCACGGAATCATTTTAATTGAAAAAATATTACTCTAAAAGTTATGGTATATAGTTTTACGGTAAAAATATTTTTTACAGTAAAATGTATTTTACTGATGTAGTAACTCAGACTACCTGTACTTTTTACCATCTTTTGATCCGGAATTTTTTACAGTGTATATAATTTTAAATTATATATATGCATACTCTCTCTCTCTCTCTTTAATTATCTTTTTTGAACCAACTTAGTTAAAAAAGTGTTTTACATTTTAATTAATATTACTACTTCAACTAATTTCTAGGGAAATATTACTCGATCATTTACCACGAATAAGTATTTTTCTTTCATTTTAGTTTTTTAAAAAAAAGAAAACTTAAAAAATTAAAATTTTTTAAGAAACATATACCAAATTTCGCCACACTAGTTGGGATATGATAATTATTTGAAATTCTATCTTTAACTTGAGTTTTTTAAAGTGTGTTTAATAATACTTCACCTAGGTATTAGCGACTATTTTCTTTCCTCACACACGGCCTCACCCTCTGCAATTTTTAAATCAATATCTGTGTTAAAACTTTTTACCTTCAGTATAGTATTACACTACGTATAAATTTTTATTTTATACAAAAAACATGATAATAAGAACAAATTTATTTATTGCGAGGTAATGATTTGAAATGTATATTATGGCATTATTCATAGTACTAAATAATATTTGCGATACTATTTGCACATCTTGCATAATTTCTAATACGTACTTATTGTTTAAAGTAAAATATTATAAGCTGAAACTTACTAATGCGAGAAATGAATAGCGTAAGGGCTTCCTCTTGGAAATGCAAATGCTGCACTGTGTTTGAACAAATTCAAATCAAGTACATGAAATTTGCAATATTGTCTTGCCTTAAAATCTTGAAAAAGTAAGTAATTCAAAATATTCACTTCTTGTATATAAGAATATCCTAAAATAGATGCATATATCATTTACATAAGACTCTATTATGTTTATACATGTAAAAGCATACGTGTACAGAGCGCAAAAAATAAACAGACCACCTTAAATAACTTTTGATCTAAAAATCGGAATTTTTACGTTCTAGAACTCAAACTTAATGGATCAAAGGTGTTACCTCAAATATGCTAATTAATAAGTTCAGATGTAATTTTAAGTTATGAAATCAGACACAAAAACGTACTTTCTCTGAACTAACATACCTTTTTTACAACGGATTTAGATTTCTGACCTTAAATAATAGGGAGTAGCCGCAGTGTTACAAATATTGTCCCCAATAGTTTGGAGAGCGGTCCAAAGTTTAACCCCTTATTATTAATTTTATCTTATGCGTATTTTGCCATATCTCGAGAACTTTTTAAGCGAATTGAAAGTTCTTACGCTTAGTCGTAAAATTCATTTGTCGAGAGACGATTTGGTACAAAATATAACGTTTAGAAAACATTTGTTATTTTTTTCATTTAATAACTGTCAGAAGAAAGTTTGAGCTGTATAGTATACATTTCTTAGATCATATTAAAGAATGTAATTTTACATGGTGAAATAAAATTTTTTTAACTAAATTGATCGAATAGTTCCTGAGAAATCGAATCTCAAAAAAGTCGCATTTACAGTAATTTCTTTAAATAATGCTTTTTTTTTTTTTTTTTTTTTTTTTTTTTTTTTTTTTTTTTTTTTTTTTTTATAGTTTTATATCATATTTTACATTGTTATTTACCGGTGACTGACATGGTTGAAATGGAAAGTTCAGTGTAAGTCACCGGTGAAAGACGCGGCCTAAACAGAACGCTCAGTGTCAGTCACCGATAACTGACGTGGTACTTTCAGTATCAATAATAAGAATAAAAATTATAATTTTTGTCAGAAATTGATAAAATTTTTAAAACACACACACAATAACTATTTCATTATCCAATATGTACTTTAAATGGAAATTATTTTAACACTGATAATTCTAAGGCTTACATTTAGAAAATGCAGTTTACCTTTTTGTGTGTACTCCATAGCATCTTCTTCTGAATTGACGCTCTTCCCCAATTTTTTTCGAAGTGATTCTCGCAATAGAAAAAACTCGTCTTTAGCTTTAAAATTTTCTTCCTAAAGAAGAAATTATATTTACAGTAGTTACACTAATATTTAATTTGACTCTCAAACGTTTCCTTGTATGTTGCATGTCTAATCACGGAGGAAAAAAAAAATTTAAATTACAGTATAGTAAAGTAATGACATTTCTGGTAAAAAGCTCCAAAATTCTGGTTAATAAACCAAAATATACTGTATTTAAGCATTCATTTGGAAATTTTTTGGTTCATATGGTAACGGTTTACAGAAAATTCTAGACTTCAAAATTGTAATTCTTATTACCACATAAGTTAAGATCAATTTTAACATTTGCTTGTGAAAGCTGAACCATATCTTGTACGGATGAGGCTATGTTGGGTACCTTTGAAAGAAATGTCTTGAGAAGCATTTTTGGAGGAATTCAAAAAGAGGATGTGTGGCTTAGAAGATCAAATCTAGAGCTTTATCACTCATATAATGAACCTGCTTATCAACTTTATTAAACGACAAGGAATAAAATGGGCTGGCCACGTTATCAGAATGGACGAAGACCGTACCACAAAAAGAGTTTTCAATGTCAGACCAGTTGGCACACGAAAAAGTGGCAGGATGAATTTGAGATGGCCTAGAGAAAGACCTTTTGATCTTAAAAACTAAAAATTGGAAAACACTAGCAAAAAAAAGATTAGATTGGAAAAAATTTCTTTAGAAGGCCAAGGCCCACCCTGGGCTGTCGAGCCATTGATGATGATGATGATTACCACACATTAAGTGAAAAATACAGAGCTTAAAATCGAATTTAACCGAATAAATGATTTTATACCATGCTCTAAGGTATCATGATAAAATTACGAAATTTTACCCCATTTACCAAATTTTATCATACAATATAAAACCATATTTTATTATTAATTTTAGCATAGCACTTTTGTAAAAGTTATCGAGATTTTTGGCGTTCCCATAGAGTCAGAGACACGGTAAAAATTTTCCATATTCTGACCATATTTTTTTTCCTCAGTGAAATTGTAATTTGATTACATCTATAGTTCAACTATCTCATTTAATCTGTATTTAATTATATTAAATTTTTTTAATCTCGATTATTTCATTACGTCCAAATATCAAATGGAAAAATGTTAAGCGTATTTTTATAAACATTAACTAACCTTAAGCAATTTGTTTGAAAATGCTGTTCCTTTCTTGAAAGTCCACCGAAATCCAAGTTCTGTGAGGTCTTTTATGGTTAGCGCAGAAATTGAAGTTTCGGTTGTAAGGAAAGCTGTTAAATTAGCCGTGTAAAAAGCTGCAATAAGCAAGCTAGTTAGCCACCACGCAGCCATTAGAAGGCGAACTGGTATCGATGAAGATGATTTCTCACATCCTAGGAAAAACAATAATGTGATTCAATAACATACAATTAAAGAAAAGAAAGCATACAGCTCACTTAAAAAATTTTTTTAAAAGTTTAAAATTACGATTTACTTCATTAGTAAGGAACAATAATTTTTTATAATATTACAAAACGTGCAATTAATAATATTACAGAACGTGCAATTAATAATATTATGAAACAGCATGTTAATATCGGTCCTAATATGCATCAATAATGCAAATTCGAAGAAAAAAAGGAATCGTTCATAATGCAAATCATAGTTAATCATTTATTACTCAAAACATTGAAGAAGCCGTAGTGGCTCAGGTGATAGAGCGACAGCCACTCAATGAGGTAACCCGAGTTCGAATCCCAGAGATGGCTGGTTGATACGAATTCCGCATCTGGCTTGCACCGACTACAGTGCTGACGTAAGATATCCTCTGTGGTAGATGGATCATGTGTTAGAGTTCCCTTGCTGTTTGGCTAACCGGTGGAGGTTTTCGTGATTTTCCTCTCCATGTAACGCAAATGCGAGTTAGTTCAATCAAAAAGACCTCCTCGAAAGCAAATTTTTCCCACTACTTGATCCATGAGTTCGCTTGTCTTCTGAATTGGGTACAAAATGACAAGGCTTCGGAATTAAACATTGATAGGCGTAAACTTAAAATTGGGTCGACTGTTCAATGACGCTTATAAAACAAGAACATTTAAACTTATGTATAATATTTTAAACGAAAACGGTATAAGGTTATAAATTAAATAAAATATTTTCAAAATTAACTAAAAACTAATGTTCAAATGAAATCTATTTATCAAAGTATGTTTGTTTTGTAAATTTCACAAACTGTGCCAGATAATGACTAATCTATAATGTGCTACCAGTATATTTTTTGCATTAATAATTTATATCATTTTCTTAAATTTAAGTTTTAATAAAATGTGTTCAGTTTCGTTCAGCCACTGTTTTCATGCAAAATAATTATTGATTTTAGTTTATTGAATATTAAAATAATTAAATATTTAGAAGTCAGGTAAAAAAAGTTACATAAATAATAAAAAGGAAGGTTTTTCTAAAATAAAAAATATTTCAGTATCTAAGTAACTTTTTATGAAATATAATGGAATCTGAAGTAACAAAGGATTAAATTCGCATTTAAAGAAAATTAATTTTATGCATTCATTAAATTTTTCTGAGACATAAAATAAAAATATTTCTGACCTTGTTTCATTAAACCAGAATACACGAACCAAATACAGTCACCAAAGTTCATATATAAATTCGAATCTTTGATTCGTCTCTTTCTTTGTCGCTTTACCCATGTTGATAGACGTACAAGCAAGCTAAGAATTGGGCAGACCATCAAAGCAATTAGTATCACTGTAATCCACACCTGTAATTTGTAGTGCATTAAACTGAAAGCTATTCCTTACTGTAAGTTTAATCATTTTATTTTAATATCTATTAGCAAAATAGGTTTTAGTTTTTCTTAATTAAATTAAAATAAATTACTTTCGCTTTTGAGATAGTTAGTAAAATAAGTTAGTTATAAAAACGTTAAAAAATTCATTTGGATAGAAACAATAATAATGTCAATATGGTAATTGATACAGTAAACTATCCCGCTATTAAGCCAGCAAAATTGACCATTTCAATTCATAAAATTAATTTTCATTATCATTTCAATTTTTTTGAATATACAGGATGTTTATAAAGTCCCGGACCCATTTTGATATTTAATAACTCATAAAATAATAAAGATAGATTAAAATTAATAACATAAATGGTTAGATTGACTCAAAAAGTTTCATGACCCTTGTCAATGAACTTCCACGTGAGCCCTCTTCGTCGCACGGAGAATATCAAGTCGATAGTCAATTTTACCCAAGGTAGCGGCAAGCGTTATGAGTTATTAAACATCAAAATGGGTGTTTCTGGCATTGTTAATCGCCATAATGTGCTCATATGGGGATCTGAAAACCCCCATGAATACCGTGAGACACAAAGGGATTCCTCAAAGGTTAATATGTGGTGTGAATTAATGCACGACCGAGTCATTTGGTCTTTCTTTTTTACAGAAAAGACGGTGTTATCAGTCGTATACTTAGACATGTTGGAAAACTTCGTATTTCCACAACTAGAAGATCTTTAGCCACATGTCTTTTTGCAACAAGATGGGCACCACCTCATTAGGGTATCATCGTTCGTAGTTCTTTGAATGATCATTTTCCAGGAAGATGGATTGGGCGAGGAGGTCCAATTCCTTCGCCACCGAGATCACCTGATATAACGCCGCTGGACTTTTTTCTTTGGGGATTTATAAAGGACAATGTTTACAGGAGGATCGTGTCGAACATTGATGACCTAAAAGCCAGAATTACAACCGCAATAGCCTCTGCGGATGGCAACATGCTTGCTGCTACCTGGCGTGAAATTGACTATCGACTTGATATTCTCCGTGCGACGAAGGGGGCACACGTAGGAGTTCATTGATAAGGGTCATGAAATTTTTTGAGAGTCTATCTAACCATTTATGTTTTTAATTTTAATCTATCTTTATTATTTTATAAGTTAAACATCAAAATGGATCCGGGACTTTATAAACACCCTGTATTTGGTCAAGTAAACACCGAATGACTTTATTTAATAAATTTCCTGTTAATACCTTTAAATGTAATCAATTTATTTGAAGTGTGGTTATTGTTGTTTAATTTTGTGTTTCAGATAAATAGACAGGTAGATATCCTATGCCCTCTGAACTAGGGTCATGTCAACTGTCTTTGATTAGACTAATGATAACACAACGCGATGTATGAGAAGATTATAATTTAACCCATCGCACGTTGCAATTTGTAAAAAAACTAGTTTATAATAGCTATCAAAAGCAAGGAATACAATATTTGTTTTTTAATTTCAAATTACATTTAACTTACAGTTGTTGAGAAAGGTGCTATAAGAGCTCCACTATTTTGCCGATCTTGAGGTTTAGAAAAAAGAAGACCCAACGAGTCTTCGAATAAAACTGTTCCAAAAGTAACTACTTCTTGCCTTTCTTGAGTTATACTTATTGGGGCAGCCGCCATGTCAGCTGTCTGAAATTAAACCAATAAACAAAGAGTTTAGTGATATATTTCTTTAAATTGATTTTACATCATTATTTTTTTTTTGTCCTAAAGATTAAAACAACGAAAAGAAAATCTCATGCATGTATATTTTGCTGATGTCTTTTATTGAAAATAAGATAGCTGCCATAAAACAAAAGATAAAATTTTAAGCAAAAATAAATACATCTGCTTTTTGCTACCAACTTAGAGAATCTATTAGATATATTACTTATATAAAGTAGTTTATTTACACAAAAAAGTTTTAATATATAATTTTACCGTTATACTGAATTTTGTTTTAAATCAAAGTAATTATTGAATTTTTAATCTTTTTAACTTTAATAAAAGATACCAACACACTGTTAGAAATTCCCCCTAAAAAATTGTTAAATAAAAATTTATTTTATTGTTATTTTTCATATTCAAACAAAACAGACAAATAACCAAAAATTTAAACTGTTAACTGTGACAAAAACCGTTTACTAAATACTTTCATCTAATTCGGTTAAACAATCAGAATTTTATCCACCAACTAGGCCCACCTAATAAAGCCACTTAGTTCCTTGAAGATGGGTACATATTATAGCCGAGTGGGCTAATATGTCAATCTCATGATAGGTAGAACTGGGATTCGAATCCCAGCGTTGACACTACAATATTTTATTCATTCCCTTCAGAACATGAAAACTTCCCATTATCCTGCACTCTCCAATTTGTGAGCCTGAACTAATAGCATACGAAGCTTTCATTCACGTATAGATGGAGGCGCCATAAAGCTGCTAAACTATCTTTAATGTCCAGTTAAATTTCTTTTTAACATTTTGAAACCATGCTAGTTGTAAATGGTAAAAAAAACGTATAGTTTCGTATTCATGAATTTTTAACCATAGTAGTTGTAAACGGTTTCAAAACCAAAAGGTAAAAAATATTCTTTGTCTTAAACCTTACAGTTAATTGGACGGACAGACTGCTGCCGGTTTTTTTACCCCAATTTTAGAATTAAAATTCTAATAGTGCACGGTATAGTGAGCTAAAAAAAAAGCTCCCTAAATAATGTTTTTTCTAATGATCGAATTTTTAGATGCTTTGAATTGAGTTCAAATATGCCAATTAATTAGTGATTACCAATTAAATAACAAAATCAGGCACAAAGCATACCTTTTCGATTTTTGATCAGAAAAACAAGAGGGGTTGGCGTTTGCCTCAATCTGGAGGATATGGCAGACGAACTGTCAAAAATTTGTCTCTCTTAATACTACTTTCTCTTTTTATGCTTTTCGCTAAATCTGAGAAACTTTTAAAACGTTTCAAAAGAAATGTACAAACAATTATAAAATTTGCTTATCCAAAAATAATCCCATATAAAAATAATATTTTATAATTATTGTATAATAGTCGAGTCGAAACGATGTTAGACTGTAAGGTATACAAATTTTTACATCATTTTAAATAGCGTAATTTTAAATGACAATATCCAAATTTTGAGCAAAATTGATCGAATGGTTATTGAATTCAAAAATTCGAAAAGGTTGAATAGTTACTCAGAAACTATTTAACCTGCTTCGTTCAAATTTTAAATTTGAAATTACTTAGCTTAAAATGATTGAAAATTTTTTTATACGTTATAATAAAATTTTTTCGTCTATCATTAAATAACGTAATAGAAATAATAAGTGATAAATTTTTCCAATTATTACAATGCATGTCATAACTATTTCCACTTAAGAATTAAACTAACTAAAAGTATATTAGTAAGTAAATCAACCCTTTATTAAATTATAAACCATAATCTTACGAATCATTCATTAATCTGATTAATAATCATTATTACATCAACAATATCAAAACTAGATCTGATTACATTTTATGTTACTGAATAACCAGCACTGATCTAGATTTGTAACAGTAAGTTAGTATAGAGATCAGTGCCAGAATCCAGCCACTCATGTATTATATCTCTTTACTTTACTGCACTTTGTAGATCTAAAGATGTTATCAGCAAAAATATATTTGACGAATGGGCGTACAACGATATTTCTTATAAGCAAATTCCAAAATGTAAGAGTATTTTTTCTTTTTTCTGCGAAATATGTTATAAATCAAGTCTCAGATAATAGGAAATAATGGTAAGATACCCAAAATGTCAATCACTAATCATGAAGAAGTAGTGGCTTAGGGTAGTGTTTCCCAAAGTGTGGTACTGGAACAGTTTAGCGGGGGTAAGCGTTCTTATGCGAAATATCTTGCAACAAACGAAAATTTCAAAAACATTTATCTTAAAGCAAAGCTAGCCATGAAAATTTACGATTACGTATTTTTCTATTGGCTATTTTTTGCAGAGTTCACGGTTAATAGTTAGTGGCATAAACAGCCAGTTGTGATTTTTAACATTTGCGCAATTTTCATTTCATTTTTTTATTAAGTGGTACACATCGTTAAGAAAAATTTAGAAAGGGTACACTAAAGTCATAAGTTTGGGAAACACTGGCTTAGGGGATAGAGCACTCGCCACCCAATGCGGTGAACTGAGCTCGAGCCCAAGCGATGACTGATAGATACGAATTCTTCCTTCCAAAAGGCCTCCACTTAGGCAAATTTCTCCTAATATTTGATCCAGTTGTTCCCTTGCCTTCTGAATTTGGTTAAAAATTACAAGGAGTCCAAAATTAAGTCCGGAGTTCAACATTGATATTATATATATATATATATATATATATATAATTCTGCTTACCTGGTTTAAAAGCATACCTATCATTCCCGTCCAGTATGATCCATTAATTAGCATTCCAAAATCCAAATCTGCCGGAACAACGACATCATAGCTGCAAAGGAATTTAAAATGTAATCATAATGTCTTATCTTCTTGAGAATACTAATAATAATGTGTTGTTGTTGTTGTAGTTAATTTACGTCGCACTAGAGCTGCACAATGGGCTATTGGCGACGGTCTGGGACACATTCCTGAGGATGATCCGATGACAAGTCATCACAATTTTGAGCCTTTGCAGAGGGGATGGCACCCCCGCTTCGGTAACCCGACGACCTGCACGCGAAGTCGAGCACTTAACGGTAGAACAGTTTAACGAGGACCCATACCGCACACCCTCGGTCCCTACGCAGACTGATCCAAGTGGTCANGTATTTTCTAACATGTATACCTTTTATATTTGTACAAAACTTTTTTTTAATTGGAGCTTGGTTAGGACTGGGCGATAAATCGATGTATCGCGAAATATCGATTAAACGCATATATCAGTAGGCCGATGTAGTGACTTTCGTTGTAAACGATGAATCAGAAATATATATATAATGAAACAGCGCCATGCTTATTGATCTTTCTTATCTATCATATTACAAGAGTTTAAGCTGCGTCTTACAACTGCTTCAACATAAAGTTTTTTTACCTGCTATGTATTTTATAAATAACAATATTATGGACTAACCAAATTTACTCTATAATCTGAACAATTATTCATTATTATTAAATTTTATGAATTTAGAAAAGGATATTTTCTATATCAAATAGAAAAGAAAGTGTTGAATTCAAACATAACCATTAAACATAATTTATTATGCTTTTTTAGGAAACCTTTTAATTAATCATATAGATCAAGTTACAGAATGACGAAATCAACAGCCTTTTCTTAACATTTCAGTAAAATCAAAAAAAATTTATTGCTTTGAGGATCCTTTTTTAAAAATAGAACATAAACAATTAAGTGAGATAACCTCAAATGACAGTTTGAGAATGTTTAAAGGGATAAAATGTACTTTTTACTACATAGACTATATATAAAAAGAAAAAAAGCGCAAGTCGAGTACAGAAAGAGATATGCTATAGTTTATGTTCGAACTACTGTATTTTGTACTTGATTTGTGCTTTATTCACGTTGTTTTTCACTATAGTTTGAGATTATATTTATAATTGCTTATGAGGAGTACAACTCAAAAGTAAGTTTGGTTATTAAAGTTATAAATTGCTAAAAAATTTTCTTTAATATGAGTGTAAAGGCCTATAAACTTAACTTTAAAACACACTCATAACTAAAATATGTGATCCAAAACTTCAGCATGAAAACTAACAATCTAACTCAAAATAGTATTTCTGCAATCAGAGCTCGAAATTTAGTCGACTAAAGTAGTGGCCATAAATTAACCCGGAGAATGGATGTTAAATAATTTGAACAATAGTTAATTTGCTTCAAAATGATAAAAGAATGTCGTTTTGTTCAGAGGGAGCATTAATTCACCATTTTTAAATTTATTTATTTTTTTGTATTTATTGAGTACAAGAATAGCTGTTTTAAAAAAAGTTCCATATCTATATCTGTTTAATAAAATTATTTAAAACTAAATTTTATCTGAATTGTAATAGTATATTATGAGTAAGCTTTATTTAGTATATTGATTTTTATTTAAAAAATTCAATCACGTTAAGAACAGTAATTGTTTCTCAAAACGAAAATCAAAATTAAATTCGCCTTTTCATTTTTTTTTTACCTGAATGGAATAAGTTTCTAAAAAATTCTATATATTTATATGGATAAAATTATTAGAAAGTTTTGCCATGTATTTATAGCAAAATTTTTCATGAACTTTAAAAGTTATAACCACTTTTTCGCAAAAGTGAAACAGACATTTTTTTTCATTACATATTTTGTAAGAAAAAGAGTGTAAAAATATAATTATTTTATTCTTTTACCTAAATAAATCGAAGTTAATCAATTCAAGAAAGGGCTGACTTCTTAAAGAATAACAATTAGTTAATTCGATGGTTAATTTAAATCCTGAACTCAGAAATTAATTAACTATTTAGAATTTAATGCATCATAAAATCATATTACTTTTCTATATAACGAAAATTGAATTCATATTTTTTAAGTGCTATTTTTGGGAATTAATAAAAGAGAAGCAATATTTTTCTCTGAGAGTATTTCTTTTCATTTCATTTCGAATTTTGACCTTATCAGTTGAAACGATTGATTGCTTTCGCTATATCTACGCTTAAAATGCAAAACCTTCTGCCTGGATTCATAAAAGATGTTTAGGAAACAATGCAAACGCATTATTGGTTTTATTTTTAGTAAGCGATGAATTAACGTTCGTAGCTTTTCACTATCATTTTTTAGTAGGACGTGGGCACACCTGACAAAATCTAAACTGGATAAATTTCTATCTGGTTCTGATTATAGAATACAATTCGCATATCAATTATTTTAGAAAAACATGTAAATAAGAATATAATTAATTTTCTTTACATATTAATGTGTTTTTAAATCTATTAAAAAAATTATTTCCCAAAATTTCTAATAAATATTTAGTTTACTTAATTCAATTAAGTTGGATTTAAAGAAAATTTCTTACTAATCTTTTTTAGCAATAGTTAAGAGAACTGTGAAAAAGGTGCAATGATAATATTTTATTTGTAAGATATTTCAACAATATATTACACTTTGGGATGCGATAAAATGGTTGGCAGGGCACTGAACTCATGTTCGTGAGAACGGGAAGACTCCCCGTGCAGTAAATGGTGACGGGTGTGCGTTAAATCTGTAGGGTCACATGGTCCTCCATGTTCACATGACATATTATACCTCTGAGGGTACTGAATATATGAATGGGTCCGTGCTATAATTAGGTGTGACTTACGGGTGAGGCAAAATTCAAATTCTTTGTCATAGATGGTGCCACCTGAAAACAAGAACTATCGCACGCACCCATTGCCTTAATGGCCTACGACAACAAAAACCACAACAAAAGCACTAACACAGTGTATTTAGAGTTTGGTTTTGCAAATAAGTCATATTATTTATATCATGTTTTTAATTAAATTTATAGGTTGTTTTTACCTAAACGAATAATATGTTAATTCAGAAGTAATGATTCTGTAATAGTTGTTGAATAAAGCATATTAAACGAAAGATTGAATGTTATACGTAAAATTTTTAAATATTTTACCAAACTTTACTTTATTCGTAAACAATAATTTGATATCACTACAAAAATTACGCAAAAAAAAAAGTGTTTTTATTTATTAAATTGGCTCTATGGTTGTTGGTTACGATGTTTGAATTGATCTTTTCGCAATAAAATAAAGGCAATATCAATAACTATCATAAATACTCCGTAAACCTTAAAATTCTAATAAAAGGACGTGATGTCAAGTATTAAGAAATTTTTATAACTAAAATCGTAAATTTAAATACCATGCGTAAAGAAGGTTGCTTACTTTATTTAAGTTTTCTATAAGAAAATAATTTTTAATGCATTTTTTAAAATTGTTTTTTATTAATTTTAAAAGAAATAATATAATGAAATCTAGAGTTGTCCAGGTATATATATATATATANAGGCTACTAAAATGCAACTATTTGCTACTATTTTCGGGCTTAGGCGACTATAGTGACTTTTTTTGACTGAAAAGGCTAAAAAAGCAACTATTTTCAGGAATAGGCGACTATTAGGAGACTTTTTTTACTCCTGGCGAAGTTTTTCCGCAAAAATGAACGTTACTTTTCAGAACGTTAATAAAAGATAGCAAACTTTTATACATTCATTTGTGTTCAAAGAGCCAAGAATTTAAACTTCCATTGGATTTAATAAAGTACTTGTTATATGCTCTCTTTGAGAGGCAGTTATGTTATTTTTAATTGTTTTTTCCTTCTATTAACATTCATATTTTATTGTAATTCGACTTTTATTTAGTATTTTCTAACATGTATACCTTTTATATTTGTACAAAACTTTTTTTTAATTTAAGCTTAGTGAGGACTGGGCGATAAATCGATGTATCGCGAAATATCGATTAAACGCATATATCAGTAGGCCGATGTAGTGACTTTCGTTGTAAACGATGAATCAGAAATCTGATTTAAGCCGCCGGAATTAGATTACAATCGCGGTTTAACGATTTAATATGGAAGGATCCTTGACTAGGATAACGCTGTTTCCGCACTAACGAAGACGATTTTGATTTCGTCTAGCTGCAGAGATGCAGATATCATTTTGCTATTAAGATGTTAGTTTTGTAATGTTGAATGACGAAGTGCGAATTGAATCAGAACTCCCGGTTTCGTGTCAGGATCAGCGCTGTAATATGTAGAACGCAATGCATAGTTTCTTTATGTCCATTTTTGTCTTTGGGATTTTGCGTTTTTTGAAGATTATTTTCAATGGGACTTAAGTCATTTTTCTATCGTTGTGCATTTTATTTCGTCGGAAATAATTGTCGGGTTTCTTGTAAATTATTTTCAGTGAGACTTTTGCAGCGATCGTTTCGTTCTGCATTATTTCATACCATTTTTTTTCCTGCCTGGGTTTAACGATTCTTGTCAATTATTTTTAGTAGACCTACTGTTACTTTGCGATTGCTGCACAATCGCTGTTATCTTAAATTTTCGTTCTGAACTCAATAGATCAAATCANTTTTTTTCCTGTCTGGGTTTAACGATTCTAGTCAATTATTTTTAGTAGACCTACTGTTACTTTGCGATTGCTGCACAATCGCTGTTATCTTAAATTTTCGTTCTGAACTCAATAGATCAAATCATTGATTTTTTTCAATTATTGTTTTTTTATTTTAAGTGATGCAAATTAATAGGGGTATTTTGTATTTAACTTTGTTATAAAAAATTGGTTTTTTTAAATTTATTAAATGTAGTTAAGTATAATAATTTGATTGTTTTTCAACCAATAAATGCTCAGTCGTTTTTGATTATAAAAAAAATTAAAACAGAGCTTACCTTTATTTAATTTGCTTTTATTTTTGAGAAAATGAAAGCAAAGCTTTAAAAAAATTTGGCTATTAGTTAAAACAATATTTTTTTTAATTAAATAAAAAGTCTAGTAATGTTTTGACGTCTTTAGTAATTTAACATTAGTACTTAAAGTATTTTTTTTAAATTTTTATTAAAATTCTTTCAATACTTGTTTGTTTTATAATTTGTTCGATAGTCAGTATCATTTTTAAACAAATAAATCTTTAGTCGATTTTATTTTCAAAAATGAAAATAATAATAAATAAGTAAAAATATTTTAACTTTTATTAAGTACAGAATTTGACCATTTTATTACCATACTATACGACTTTTATTACTTAAAATAACTAAATCAAAAAGGGTCTAATGATGATTCAAAAGCATGTTCTTTTCTTCAACAAATAATTAAAAAAAATTTTCTTTTTCTGAAGTGAACATTTCTTTGGTTTGTTTTCCACTTTCGTTTTTTTTCTTCTTTTAATTTCTAATGCATGTATGTAAAATAATTTGTTACAGTATTATTATTTTTAAACCAATAAATCTTAAATCATTTTTAATTTAAGAAAAATGAAATGGAGCTTGGGTTTGCGTTAACTTTGACTTCTTTATTAATTTAATTGAAAAAATTAAGCAATGATATTGATGTCATAGTAGAATATGTTTAGAATTAATATTTTCTTTTAGACTAGATTTATTCCTTTTTATTTATTTTTGATTGATTAGAAGATTTCCTATACGTAATTTTTGAACATATGCTAAATTGCGATATATCACTATATCGTTATGTCTAACTGACGATGTATCACGATTTAAAATTTCAGACATCACCCAGTCCTAATAATAGTATTTGACAATTAAGCTATAATTTTTGTTATTTGGCTACTATTTTTGATAAATTTTTGTTTCTGTTCAGGCAACTATTTTCATAGATTTAGGCAACTATTTTCATGCTTGAGGCTACTAAAAGCAACTATTTTTGTTCATTTTTTACTGTGGCATCCCTGATATATATATATATATACTTTAGAACATATTAGGGGAGCAAACTATAAAGATTTAAAATTTCAAAAATATAAAATATAATAATAAAATTTGGTAAATGTCATAAAATTGGGGAATTTCATCATGATACCTTATGATACCCTAGAGCATGGCATGAAAACCATTTATTCAGTTAAATATACTTTTCAGTCTTGCATTTTTTACTAAATGAGAGGTACTAAAAACTACAATTTTGAAAACCAATTTTCGGTAAACCGTTACCATTGAAACGAAAAAATTACCAAATGAATGGTTTAAATTCCGTATATTTTGATTTTATTTACCAGAATTATGGTTTTCCAATAGAAATGTCATTACCATACAGTTCGTTAGTTTTACCTGAATTTCTTTCTCCGTTTAATTATATTGGAACAAAATCTTGTTTTTNCTTTTCAGTAAAACTGGCGAATTACCGCGAAGAGGGCGCTATCTACCGGAGTGAAAAACTTGCGTCTTCACACTTTACATACATTGCGCATTACGGTCAAAGAAAGAGTGGACAGCATGAAATTGCAATTAAACAGTCAGTGGCGGCGCTTCACTCTTTATATGTACACTGTATAGTATGCAGCATGCAGGGATAATGCATTTCATAAAAATTTGGCGACCCCCAAAAAACTTCTGGCGACCCCCACAGGGGTCGCGACCCCTAGTTTGCGCACCACTGCCCTAGAGCATGGCATAAAAACCATTTATTCAGTTAAATATACTTTTCAGTCTTGTATTTTTTACTAAATGAGAGGTACTAAAAACTACAATTTTGAAAACCAATTTTCGGTAAACCGTTACCATTGGAACGAAAAAATTACCAAATGAATGGTTTAAATTCCGTATATTTTGATTTTATTTACCAGAATTATGGTTTTCCAATAAAAAAGGCATTACCATACAGTTCGTTAGTTTTACCTGAATTTCTTTCTCCGTTTAATTATATTGGAACAAAATCTTGTTTTTTTTCAATACTCAAAAAGTTTACACTGTTAAAAAAATGATATCTATTATGAAAATAAATAATAAACTTACGTGAAATTGAAATGCTCCGAAAGATGATCTAATATTTCAAAACTGAATCCTTTTCCCACATATCTAGATTCATTAAAAAACTCAACAGTTTGGTAAGGTTCCGACTATTAAAAAAGGAAAAATAAACTATCAAAAATTACCATCTCTTAAAGTATATAATTCTCTATTTTTTAATCATATTAATGACAAATGACACAGAAAACAAAAATGAAATTTTCTATTTTTATGTACGATGTTAAAATTCAGAATCAAATTATGGTTAAAAGTACTGGCACTATGGGCAGTGTTACTTTTTACCATAAAATTTATTTTTACCGGAACATTTTGCAGAACAAAAAATCTGATATACTTGTACTTTTTAAAAACTTAACCAAAATTAAAGTCATGTGATATAAATTTAAGTTCAAGTTAATCTAATTCTGTTAAATTTTTTTTCTCTAAGTTTTTACAATAGTTTTAATACTTTTTTGCCAAAATATTATTTAATTCTTCATTTTTCTTCCGACATGCCAACGGATTAAGCAGATATTTAAAATTGTATCTAACTTACATATATTTAAAATTGTCAAGCTGCACAAAAAGCTAATTTGAATAAACAACATATTATAACACGAATAATGATAATAAAATTAAAGAATAGATTAAAATACTACCTCCACACTTGCAATTCGAAGTCTTTTTCTTTCTAAATTCAAAGTATACTCCGTATTTTTACCATTTATAGATTCCTCTAGTTGAAAATCTAAAATAAACATTTCAATGATCTTATCAATAAATGCTTAAAATGAAAGAAAGACGTAAATATATTACTCGGTCTATTTTTAAAAAATCATTATTCGATATTCCAAATAAATTTGTTAACACGTAGTAAACTTATTGATGAAGGTGAGGTAATACCGGGTAGCTAAGATTGTTGAAGCTAAAGTATTCGTCGTCTGATTTAGCTAAGATATTCATTCTTTAGTTGTATATAATAAGTAATTCTAGAAATGTCATAGATATGTTACTTTATTTTATAAATTATGACTATTATTTTTTATAAGCAGTTTAAGCAGATCCTATATTGGACACGTCTCGGTTGGCGAAAATTGCGACTGGCGTTCAAGGAGCCCTCTCGACAATCACCAAACAGCTGTGCACTCATATTTTTGTTTTGTTTTCGGTATAATATCATTTACCAAGTTTAATATGGATGCGACATTTCATAGAAGCTGATCTTCGCAAAAATTTAATGAATGTCCTTGTATAAATAAAATACTGGACACGCATAGAACCATAACTAAATGATAAATTCGGTGCAGTATTTAAAATAAATAAGATTTTCAATTAGTTATTTTTGCTAACTAGTTTCTTATTTTGCTTATTAATTATTTTAGAAAGAAATCACCTTGTTATAGCGCAGACCTAATCGGATGTCTCTGCTAACTACATTGTGTTTAGATGAGTTTTGTTCTAGTTATGAAAACGATGAGATGGTTTTTTAAAAAAGTCGTAATGATACTACGAGGAAAAGTTATACTTTATTGCGTCCATATAACTACTATAATATTTTCATAACTCTTTTTAAATGTATTCTGAGTAGTGAAATGCTTTTCCTACTCGCTTCGCTCACCCACTCGATTAAAATTTTTCTTAATAATTTCACAATAAATTTTAATTCTTAAAAATGAAACAATTGTTACATTGAAGTTAAAAATTGCTAATTTAAAATACTTAAAAATTTTTATAGTATAGCAGAGACTTTGTTTCTAATTCTATTTTGATTAATCTAACTTAATGATTTTGCTCGAATTACTGTTATAATATCATTTACAATTTTTTTTAAAAAATTTATTTTATTTTCGGTTATTATAAAATTATTTTATTTTATTATTTTATTGCATTATTTTAGTTGCATATGTTCATTATGCACAGTTTTAAAAATTACATTTTTTGAAAATAAAAGGAAACTGTCGAGCGAAGAAAAACATTTCGACTCACAGTTTTTTTATTTCAGATCATTAGCATAATTCAAATGAAATAATTCAAACTCTGCGAGCGATATTAAACGATATTATAACGTGATAATAAAAAGAGCGATATTATAACGTGAACATATTTTATATGTTTATGTCATAATATCACTTTTTCAGATGTTTCAAAATAATTAAATAATTTTGAATCTGATCGGTTTTGGTATTTATTTTTTGAACAAAAGTTTCCAACCGATACAAAAATGTACAATAAACCTCCTTTACTTTTCAATCGATGCGAATAAGTATGAATTTCTTGAATAACAAAAAAGATAATAACAGTGTCACGAAAACAAAGTGTGCTAGGAATCTCGAAGAAAAATGTAGTATTCGTTATCTTAGAATAGCTTGGCATTTAAAATTATACGTTTCTATATTTTATAACATATTTAGTTGCATGCCTCTGAAATAACTATACAACGAAAAAAAAAACTAGTTTCGTTTGATTAAGATGCATCGTGTAAATGACACATAATAATTTAGCTTTCCAAACTGAAAATAACAGGTTAAATATACATATACTTTTTTATTTTTATGTATGATAAATTGAAGAATTCTGTTTATTGGTGATTTGCTTCAGTGTTACTTTAGAATTCTAACGAAATTAGTAGAATATGCTATTGATTACCTAATAAACTTAACTTAGTTTTTAGCATTTATAAATTCGTGCTTTTATTTATCTTAAACTAATTGAAACTACTGAGACTATTACTAACTAGTTGAAACTACTGAGACTAAACTATTGTGACTAATTGAAATTCAATTTCAACTAAGTAAGTTTAATATATTCTAATGTCAGTTTACTGTACATAAACTGAAATAACAGCATTAAAATCAACAGGTTTAACAATTTTGTAATTTTTAACACATAGAACATACAAAACTGTTTTTCTTTTCTTCCAAAAAGTGGTTAAGAATTAAATTGGTCTCAAATATTCAAATAATTTAGAAAAAAGAAATTTATTTCCTGCAGTCTCGCCTTTCTACCAAACGCTATTAAATAGGAACTAGTTTCGAATCCCACCGTTACCCTGGGTGTATAGAAATAAGTAAGGAAATTTATTTTAAATAAATATCTTGGTTCTCGTGCTTAATGCAAAGAATGGCTGTTTTTAAATTGAAGAATAGTCTGTAGAAAAATAAGAAAGACAGCGAGTCAGTACAAAGACCCGTTAGCTCTACACTTTAGAGTGCTTGATGGGAAGGACAATGCCCCTCGGCAACGGAAGCTGTGTGGTATCACTGTTTTGCTAACTCCCTGAAGCATAAATGTAGTGGAATCGAATTCCACCATAGCACTTATATATATTCCTGTTGTCTTTGTTAAACTCATGCTCTCCGTTTTCAAATCAAAAGGAGTTAAGCCATTCTTCGTATTTTACAAAGAAACCCACTTATGTACGTAAATAAATATAAATAAATCCCCCTACTCCCATAAAAGATGAATAAAACAGACACCATAGCTTGATATAACTGATTTTAGTATCGTTAAAATACAACCGTCATCTAATTCCTACAAACCATTTAAATAAATCGACATTTTAAATGAAACATGAAAGTGTAAACGGCTTTTGAAAACCAGAATTTCCAGTAAACCGTTACCATATGAACGAAATGTTTACCAAATGAATGGTTTAAATACCGTTTATTTTGGTTTTTATTACCAGAATTATGGTTTATTTTACCAGAAATATTGTTACGGCAATTTTACTAGAAAGCCGTAGTCACATTTCTTTCAAATATATTTTATTTTTCACATATTATTAGTTACTGTATTATTCTGTAAGAAAAATAAGAAATAAGAGAAAATTTCCGCAAAAATATTTAGACCTTAAGTTACAAACCACCCGTAATTTTAAATTGTAGTGAATTTAAGATCAGATTGTAAAATAAGCAGGATTATTCATAAAATAATAATCGATACGAAAAAGATCCCTGATAAGAGAATGGACACAGCAACATTTCGAGACCAAATGCATGATTTGTATTTTTGGCTTTCAAATATTGTCAATCAAAATTGAAGTACTAAATGTTGATTGATTTAATATATGAAAAAAGTTTAAATGATGAAGGTCTTAGATTACGCAATGAACACCTAATTCAGAAGGGAAAAAATTGATTTCTAGGTTTACAAAAAATTTTATGAAAATGTTTTTGCCCTTTTTTTACGGTACTAAGGTACTATCATATGTACTACTAAGGTACAATTGACGGTTCTAAGGTACAATCATCATAAAGTTTTAACCTCTGTAAGAGCGTTGCTGTCGTTACGTCACTGAGATTAGTATTTTCATTAAGATTATTTTTTAACAAATGATTATGATTCGTTATCTTGGTTTCAACGTGTTTGGTGAATGTTGCAGTATGTTCCCATAGTATATAAGCAGTATAAATTGATTTTCTGTGCTGATTTTCAAAAAATCACTAATATACCATTTAAGATGTTCTTTCATTAGGCTCTTCAATTACAACCAAAGCTGATTATTTGTCGTACTGCTACGCTATTTATAATACATAAAATGAAAAAGTGTTCTGTAACAGCAGAATAAAGTATTGATGACAAATACAAAAGACGGTAGCGTTTAAGAATTTGGTCATTTGATAGCCTTATAATAATAGCTCCAAATACCAGAATATATAATTGTGTTTTCAAAAAAAAAATTTAAGACACTTTTAATTTCGCAATAATTTCTAAAACTATTGTTATTTTCTCTCCTTGGTTGCATTTAATTGTTGAACTAAAACGGAGCGAAACATTTATAAATTTAACTAATTAAGATCTTATATAAGCCGCACTTCAAATGGATCCATTTTGGTAGCAAGAAAAGCGATCTTAATTCTCAAAGTATAATATAGGGTAGCAGTTTATAGGGGTTGGCGAGATTGGCTTGATTTTAGCATAGAAAATAAAGTTCTCTTCATTAACGAGCTTACATTTATGTATGTATTTCATAATATGTATTTGAAAGTTAAAAAAAAAATAGCTTGGTTGTAGATTTGAACATCCTGCGTGTATAAACGGACTCTGCCTTTAAAAACACTCTAGTACTCTACAGTTATAAGGTAAATGTACGGAATTTAACTATTTAACTTAAAAAGTGGACATTGACTAAAAATTATACAGTAAATGGGTATTAAATTCCATATTTTTTGGCAATATAGATTAAAGGGAGGAAATGTCAAATTCTGTTCAGTCTTGGATTATTCTATAATTTAATTTCTTCCTGGCGTTAACATGTTTTTCAACCAATCGTCTCTGCCTTAGTGCAGCCCTGTATAAAAGTTTGAGTTGATGCTTAAATAATAGGACGCTGAAAGAAATATTAAATATATCAATCCTTAAAAGATTATACTACCAAGTTATGATCATATTGCTTTAAATACAGTTACAGAATCACACATTAGTTGGCATGCATACATCAACTTGACATATTAACATATCTTGATGAGAATTTCATTTTTATTTTATAATTATTAACAAAATATGCTTCTGTACAAGAAGGCCTTGTTTGTGTGATGGTCTATTTCTATTTAGTAAAGAAAGATGGGTTAACCCTCAAGCTAATGTTTATACAACTCTTGATATCTTTTCAAACTAAAACATTTTCAGCTAATTTCTACTGCCTAAAAGAGAACACCTCAAATCTGACGAGTGAGGAAAAATAAGACATTCATTGTACTCTGTACCACAAAATGAATACAAATTTTATTGGAAAATTCAAACAATGCC